TGCTGGCTACAGCGCTGTCCGCCTCGGCGTTCTTCTTGCCCTTGTGCTCCCGATCGCGGAAGTGGGGCGCGTGCTTGCCAACCGTGGTCGGCTCCGCTGACTGAACGTACTTCGTGAAATACACGTGGAACTTCTTCTTCTCGCCTTCGATGTACTCTGCGTTGCCTTTCCAAGGAGGCCGCCGCGTTGTTGATGGGGAAGAGCGCTGCTGCGGCCTGCATCTGCACGTGTGGCGGCCCTCGTGCTCGGAAGTCGATCTTTTCGCCTGCGCGCTGCCGTTCTTTCGTGCTTCTGGGTGTCTCGTCGTGCATGGCGCCCGCCTGGACCATGAGCTGGCTGATGCCGCCCCCCGTCTCGGCGAGCCCCCGCGTCTGGAACGCCGTGCCCGCGAGGCTCGCGAGCTCGCGCGACGAAGGGAGGCGCAGCTCGGCGAGGAGAAGGACGAGCGCCGTCGTGACATCCTTCCCGCCGCCCTCCTCGCCCTTGTGGCGGCCCTCGGCGTGCTCCGCTGGCTGACCCTCCGAGCCCTGGTCCCCGGGCCCACGCTTCGCGTCCGACGTCGCCTGCGCCCAGGCCGCGGGCGCCAGCTCCCCCATCGTCTGTAGGGCGCAGCTGCTCGCGGCGCCGACGGGGCAGGAGTGGGTGAGGCAAGTGGCTGCGTGGATGCTGACATAATTCATCTAACCGAGATGCTTCATAATCACATTGTGGACATGAGAGTGACGGTGGATTTGCAAGAGGTCTTAGTGCCTCACTTCTCCCGAACCGGCAATCTCCCCGTTGCGCAGCAAGCATCATATGTCGAGCAGCGCCTTGTCCCATACTAACACCCTACAACACACGCAGATATTGCATGGTGTGAGGACATGGCGCAGTGAGCGGAGGTCGTGACGCGAACGCATATGTGCCATGAGGCCGTTCTGGGGCCCGAACGTCTCTTCGCATCCCTCGAACTGGCATCGGAACTCTTTCCCAGCCTCGTGTGCATCCTCCGCGGTATTCCCGTGCTCCTCGTCCTCCTCATTGAAACCAGGGGGTGCAATAGTAGATCCCCAACAACATCCTCGTATAGCCGTGAAGTCCATATTCAAGAAAGCGGGTCAAATTTCGGGGTCACACAGGAGCCCATGTCGATCGGCGAGTTACCCCAGAACGTCCTCAGAGACACGAATGAGTCCTTGGGCCCAACGGAGGCCCTCCAACGCCCTCGAGGCCCGCGGGAAAGCCTTTGGGGTCAGTTAGCCGTCAATCATTGGTGCAGGCCCAGTTTCGAAACGTGCCATCCCGGAGAGCGCCGAAAAAGTTGTGCGTGACTAGATTGGTGAGCTGACCAGGTTTTGTACCAATTCAGACGGCGAATGCCGAGCTCCACGGAAGTCTCCCACAGAAGTCTCGCATATGCGCCAATGGTTCAGCGCTGCCTTGTTCGTGAGCGTCCGTGTCGTTCCCGTCGCAGTCATCCAACTGGCGCGCCTTCGCATGCAGACGCGAGCAAAATGAGCAACTGTAGCGGCAATCCTTGCGCACTGCTGCTTGGTGATCAAAAAAGCCTCGAGACCACAAAGAGCTGAATTCTGCACCAGAGATAGAACAATACCACGAGTGAGCTTCCAAGGGATCGACAAGGACCAGATGCCGCCCAGATAATAAAATGCCGACCGCACAACCTTGGGACGCCTGGCCACCTCCTGACTAGAAACCTGGGACATAGTAATGCGGGGTCCCAAATACTTCACCTCCTCCTGAAGGGTGCCCGAGATAAGAGATCGCCCAGGCCCTCGAAGCCACCTCCGACGTGCCATAGGTCTTTCCCCCTCCAACCATACTGCTAGCTCCAGTTTCCCTCAAATTTGTTGGCATTCATATTCCTGGAGGTGCGAATCGAGTAGATCATCATATTGACGGAGCCAGGCGAGGAAGAGGCCCACTGGCGTCCCCCGCGGGACAAGGGTGTAGCTGTACAGATCGTCCGCGTATTCAAACAGGCTGAGGTCGATCTCTTGATCTCTCCACTCAGCGCGTTGAAAGTTGACCGAGGGGTCCCTTTCGCGCGAGGACTCCGTCCATTGCTGCACAGGCCGCTGAAACGCAGTGGAGAAGGCAGCCACCATGAACGGATCCCCCTATCGCACCCCCCACCCGTGTTTTGACTGCTGCATTCCCCTCGTCACTAGGTAGTGCTACAGAGGCGTCTCGATAACGCTCTTTGCAGAGACAAGTTCTCATCATAAACATATGTAGACATAGTAGTGCCCATAGCATTCCAGTGCCGCCGAAGGCGTTAGTCATATCCTTAAGACTGGCCCCGTAGCTCCACGAGTCTCCACCCCGCCACCTGTAACGCCATGATGCCCCCCCCGACGACGGTGTCTCTGAAACCCATAGTCCTCTGGAGGTAGCTCGTTGGGGAGGAGGTCGGAGAAGAACGACTTGCCCGCGGCGGGGGGGAAGTGGGCGACCCTCTTACCCTTGGGCCCATGCAGGGCCGACTTGTGGAGAGCATAACCACGACGAATGCTCCAGCAGAGTGGCGCCAGATCTGTGATGCGTACCTTCATCATCGCATCCAGCAGCATTTCAAAGAAAATAACGGGTTCAGCATGCATTCGTTGGGCCCCGAGGCCAGCTCGTGAACACTCCATGCGTGCTTCGTGGGGTAACATCTGCCGCCACAGCTCCAGCGGGGCCGTGCCATCAGGAACGGCTCGTCGCTTCGGGGCTCTACGAACATACCTTCGAAGCCTCTTAGTATCACCCAGGGCCAGCTCCTTACGTCGGGGAACGTCTCGGGCAATGTCGTGCGTCTGGGCAATTTCGAGATCGTCGCGTTGATTTCGCCACTGGTCGACGTCGATCGGGATCGCGTCCACGCCCCCCCTCCCCTCCAGGAGGCTGCCAAACATCCAGCCACTCGTGTTTTGAAACCGGAGAGGCGTTCAATTGTCGGCCATTACTTTTTTTTTTGGACGCACAATGGCAGCGAGCAGCCCTCCTAGCCCAGCCCATGGCCTCCGAAAGATTACGTCGGTTCCACGCTTCGCTGGATGCCTGAACGAAGGCGTCGCGTTCTACACGCCGGTGTCTTTGGCGGAGCACTCGTAATCGCTGAGAGATGGGCTTGAGCTCGGCCTCGACGGCCTGCAGGTCCTCTTCGTGTGCCCGAGGGGCTCAGAGCTCAACTCGCTTCAGAAGAAACTCGCGGCGCAACTTAGCCCAGTGACGATAATTGCGAGGCACAGAATGACTCCGAACTTTCGACGAGACATTGTTCGAGAAAGTCGAACGAGTGATCTGGGGCATCTTGATCGTGCACTCGAACCCTGTCCTCCTCCCTCTCCTCCAGCCACCGTTCCACTCCCCCCACGAAACCAATGTGTTGCGTGCCGAACTTGAGCGCAGATATGAGAGAAGACGCGCTCCATTTGACCTCGGATGCCGCCGAACATTCATGGGGGTCTTTAGCTTGTAACACTTCCAGGTAGAGTGGGATATTCGGGGGTGGACAGACCTCCTACCCTGACACGTCGATTGAGGAATTGGCCGCCTTCGGTTCGCGAGAGGCCGTCGCGGCCGTCATTTTTGCGGGTCCGGGTCCGTCGGTTTCGGTCCCAGGCCGTTTTCACAAAGGGGAGGTGTACTGAAGAGGATCTCGGGGGCCCTCTTGGCCCCCACGGCCGATGCCGAGGCCGGCCGCGGTCGAGGAGGAGGAGGAGGAGGAGGAGGAGGAGGAGGAGGAGGAGGAAGAGGAGGAGGAGAAGGAGGAGGAGGAGGAGGAGGGGGAGGAGGGGGAGGAGGGGGAGGAGGGAGGAGGGGGATGTGTTCCAGTTTGTCCACCGCCGAGATGTGATCACGAGGGGGGCGGCCTGTCTGAGGCTGCAGTTGGGCGCCCACGTGCCGTGGAGTGTGACACCTGACCAATCGAGAGCACCAACCCTGAGGGATGAACAGACAATCGATCAAAAGCTCGGTGGTCCACCAGGTCCTTCTCTGGCAAAGGTGGACTCCATCGGTCCTGACGTATTTGCTGCCATACGATGGTGCCGCTCCAGAACTTTCGATGCCATCTCCCCTGCCCCGTTCCGTCTCCTCACTCTCGTCCTTGACTGTCCCGCCGTCTCGCTCACGTACTCCTCCCACGTTCCCTCTATCTTCTGACATCCCAATCCGTCATTAAGATCGGCGAAGAAGATTGGCAGGCACCTAACAGGTAACTGGCCCAGACAATCTCGCCACCACTGCGCCATCTTGGCGACCGTCTGGGGATGCTTAGGTCCAGAGCCTTTTCTGCGAGGCTGGGGAGGAAAGTACACACTCCTACGCACACGTCCACGAGGTTGTGTCGTATTCTGGCTGCGAGGCACCGCCCCCAGAGCTCCGGGGGCTGGAAAAAACCGTCGCACGTGGAACTCCAAGACGATAGATATTCCTGCACTTCAATTTGCATCCGATCCCGACCGTACTGCTGCTTCTAGAACAACTCTGCCCTCCACCCTTCACTGAAGAGCGTGCGCCGATTCCCTACATATATTCTCCGTGCCTGCTAAGAGTTCGAAATCCATGTTCGTGGTACAGATGGCGATCTCGATGAGGCAGCCGCCAGTGCCCCACATAGGATTCCATCCGAACACCCGCAGCTTCGACATGGTCGGCGGTCACCCGATCATCTTCGAGAGACGGCCGCGCGGCCGAGGGTGCCTCGTAGCATCCAATAAGTTTGCCTCAGGCCGGAAATCGAGGAATCCTCGAGCCCAGGGGCTAGAAGGAGGAGGAGGAGGAGGAGGAGGAGGAGGAGGGGAAGGAGGAGGAGGAGGAGTTGGAGTTGGAGTTGGAGGAGGAGGAGGAGGAGGAGGAGGAGGAGGAGGAGGAGCGAGGAGGAGGAGGAGGAGCGAGGAGGAGGAGAAGGAGGAGGAGGAGGAGGAGGAGGAGGAGGAGGAGGAGGAGGAGGAGGAGGAGGCTGGTGCGGCGGCGGCGGGGACGACGGTGGCCTTCCCGCGGCAGAGGAGCAGCCCGCCGCGGCCGCCGACGGAGGGCGCGCGGCGCCGGAGCCGCTCGGCGGCGGCGGCGGCGGCGGCGGCGGCGGCGGTCCGCGCGCGCGCTCGGCGCGCGTCGGGGCCGCCCAGGCGCCTGCGTCGCGCGGGGGCGTCCGCGCCGTTTGCGCCTCCTCGTTTGCTACTCCTCGTCCTCGCTCCTCCGTTCTCCTCGTGGTCCTCGCTTTCCCGGCTCCTGGCTCCTCGTCGTCCTCGCTCCTCTTCGCGCCGCCTCGCTCCTCCTCGTCCCTCCTCGTGCCGCCTCGCTCCCACTGCAGAGATTCTGCCTGCCCGTTTTTTCCCCCAAGCTGGCGATGAGCCTCTGTCCAGATCCAGATCTTCCTCCTCGCTCCTTGCTCCTGGCTCCTCGCTCCTTGTTCCCCTCCCCCCTCGCTTCTCGCTTCTCGCTCCTCGCTCTTTGCTCTTCGCTCCTCGCCCCTCGCTGCTCCCTCTCCTCATCCCTTCGCTCTGCTTCCGTCTTCTCGACTGTGGAATATATGCGGGTGACGCGTTGCGCCATTCTGGCAGACGACAGTGTGTTTCTTGATCGTTTTCGGGACGTTGCTGCTATTATTTGAAGTTGCTTCGCTTCTCGCGGCCTTCTTGCTGACCGCGGTATCGGGACGTCAGAATCTGTCATCACGGCACGCGAGCCTGGCACCAAGGCGGTTAGGCATATGTTGTGGCATACCCGGGGGGGAATTATTGATTCGCTTCAAGTTTATGATGCACCCCGCGTTACGATCGATTGTCAGTGCCCTCACCCAGGCCCTCTGCACACTGGTATATGATCAAGGTTGGATCCAGACCATAGCCTATCAGTTGGTCGACCATCCTGCTCGGTTTTTTTTTTTTTCTCCGTTGTGTGGCCCTTTCTGGGGGCTCACCCAGTCGCTGGGAGGGCATCATTCGCACAGCAATGCTAGCGGCAGCAAGCGAGCATAGCCAGAGCAACTCGTCGCAACGAGGAACATCGAAGTCACGGTTATGGCGTATGCGGCACAATATCCACCTGCCACTGGCAACCTTGCACCATTTCTCCCTCCCACTTGCCCCTTACACGCAGGCAGCTTTACGTCGCTGAAGTGTCTCAACGAAACGACCACGAACCATGATCGTGCCCACACGTGGTACACAGGCATTGCCAAGCGATGTTTGCAGGTACCAGATGCTTGGGGCGCGCAAAGCAGCATGCAAGCTCCGCAGTCTTGTCGGGGCACCTGCAGCTCGACATTCCGCCTTGTGTGTTCTGTTCTGTGACGTGTGACAAGTCCTTCCCAGAGAAAACTAGGACCAGAACTCGGAGAGCGGGGGCCCCGATTCGGCAAGCCAATTATCAGCACGGCTTGCCACGAGCCTGTCTCTTGTGCCCCTTAATGGCGCCATGACTAGTGAGGCCATGGCGTGCTCAGCATTGCGAATCATAAGCCCGTGAAGTTCTCCGTGAGGCACCCGATCAGAGGTTGGGTCGGCCCGCGCCCCCTTGAGCCCACAGGGGTGTAGCTAAGTGACGACAGTTGCACACCTGGCAACACCGAGGGAGGGCGATGTACCGTCTTGGTCTGCGTGGGAGACCGCTGGGAGGAGGGGGAGGAGGAGGAGTGAGGGAGGAGGAGGGATGAGGATGATGAGGATGATGGCGATGGTGATGGTGATGATGACGACGCTGATTCTGAAGACGATGATGGCACTGGTGGTGATGGTGGGGATGCGGATGCTGCTGCTGATGATGATGCTGCTGCAGATGATGATAATGATGATGATGAGGATGCTGATTATGATGATGATGCTCATGATGATGGTGATGATGATGATGATGATGATGATGATGATGATGATGATGTTGCTAATGCTGGTAATGGTAACGGTCATACTTTCGCAGGACGTGAGATTTCCATTTTGTGGTGCAAATGGCGATGATGCGTTGGAAGTTGATGACCGAACCCCCTTCCCCCGTATAATCTTGACACGGGCGGGTTCTGGGGTCCGCGGATCAGATTTTTTACGATTTCCAGTGTCAACTTACTAGTATACATCTAAAACGGGGTAAACATCGGATCCGCCGCAAAACATAAGACCGAACATGGATCCAGCAAATTCGAAATTGGATCCGCGCGGATGGAAATCGGATCCACCGAAACAAACACAAAAGCCACACTTGGATCCGCGCGAACTTCATGGGATCCGACGGCGGTTATTGCAGACGCTATTGCACAAGACTGCCAGCCGTCAATCCGGGCCCAAGAAGAAACACTTTCGTCCTGGGTATGTATGTGTGGTGATGGTGCTGATGATGAAGAAGAAGAAGAAGCTGCTGCTGCTACTGATGCTGATGATCATGCTGATGATGATGATGCTGATGATGATGATGATGATGATGATGATGATGATGATGATGATGATGAATGTGCTGCTGACGCTGTTGCTGCTGCTGATGATGATGATGACGATAGGGACGATGATGCTGATGATGATAATACTGAGGTTGATTATGTTAACTGTTGTGATGGTGATGATGATGGTGAAGATGGTGGTAATCAAGGTGATACTGATGCTGCTGATGATGCTGATGATGATGATGATGATGACAATTACACTGGTGATGACAGTAGCATTGATGATGACGACGATGACGATACGGATGACTACGACGACGACGACGTTGACGATGCGGATGTTGGTGTTGTTGTTGACGATGGTGACGGTAACGGTGACGGTGACGGTGACGACGATGATGAGAGTACTGATGATGATAATGATGATTATGACATTGGGGATGAGGGTCGTGATGACGAGGATGATGATGATGCTGCTGATGATGATGCTAATGATGATGCTGCTGCTGATGATGATAATGAGGATGAGGATGATGATGCGGATGAGGATTCTGAGGATGATGATGATGATGATGAGGATGAGGATGATACTGAGCATGCGTTTTTTTGATGATGATACTGATGATGAGGAGGATGATGATGGTGATGATGATGATGCTGCTGCTGATGCTGATGCTGATGCTGATGCCGTCGATGATGACAATGGTGATGGTGCTGATGATGATGATGAGGATGATGAAGGATGCTGAGGATGTTGATGATGACGAGGATGAGGATGAGGATTAGGATGAGGATGCTGATGGCGATAATGCTGATGCTGATGCTGATGACGACGATGGTGATGATGCTGATGATGATGCTGATGCTGCTGCTGCTGATGATGATGATGATCATGGTGATCATGCTGATCATGGTAACGGTGATGATTAGGCTCTTGATGCTGATGATGATGCTGATGCTGATGCTGCTGCTGCTGATGATGATCATGCTAATGATGCTGCTGATGCTGCTGCTGATGATGATGACGATGATGACGACGACGACAAGGGCGAGGATGAGGAAGAGGAGTAGGAGGAGGAGGAGGATGAGGAGTAGGAGGAGGAGGAGGAGGAGGAGGAGGAGGAGGAGGAGGAGGAGGAGGATAATGATCGGAGCAGGAGGAGGAGGAGGAGGAGGAGGAGGAGGAGGAGGAGGAGGAGGAGGAGGAGGACGATGAGGGGGGGAAGATGATGATAATCCTCGGGCCCGCTTGCCGCCTCTGGATTCCTGCGTCACATGTGCCCATTCACTCTCCTCTCATCTCCTCTCCCCTCCTCTACTCTTCCTCCTTTGTTCTCTCCCTCCCCTTCCCCTATTCCCTTCCTCCCTGCTCACTCCTGCCGCTGCCCCCCCCGCCCCCTCGTCTCCCCTCCCCTCTCATCTCTTCCTGGCTCCCCGCTTCCCCGCTTCCCTGCCTTTCCGCCTCCCTCCCCTTGCCCGCCCTTCCCCCCTCTTCCGCTTTTCCCCCTCCCTGCTCCCTCGTCCCACCCCCGCCTGCTGTCGCCCCGCATCTCTCACCCCTTCCGTCCCCGCGGGCCGCGCTTCCAAAGAAGCGGGGGAGGCCGCGGTGGAGAAAGCGGAGCCGCCCCTGGCGCAGCAGGACCGCGGGCTCATATTTCTGCCGGCTCGCAGACATCGCGCGCCCAGTGTTGGCAGGCTCGTAATACGCCCGACGTCCGAGAACAGCGCGACAGCTAGGAACGCGCCCCTGAGAGGGCGAACGCCCATGTCACCTTAGAATTGGTCTGCCTTCCTGCTGGGGTACACGCCCTCGCCACCTGGTAATTACGGCGATGTGCGAGATCGAGCCACAGGGAGCGACCCTTGCAGCTCCGGCTGCACAGTTGGCGCAAGCCTTCTTACAGAAACCACTCGTTTCCAGCAAAGGGCACTGGCCCGCAAGTGTGACAGCAGTGGCCATGGCCTCAGCATCCGCAAGCGCTGCACCATGTTACAGGAATGATAGCATGTGAGTCGTAACGGGTGCACCCGTAGCTGCTGTGCTAGACGGACATGGAGACGGATGAGAAAGCAGTACGACAGGGACAGGGAGAGGACGCGGCTTGCGCTTGCCACCTGCTGATAGGAGCTGCCCAGCTCGCTACCAGCTGGATATGATGCACTGGGGGAGGCGGCCCTTGAGAAGATCTGCTTTGTCTGCTAGCGCATCTCGTGCCATTCGCCTCGCCCGCTCCTTTTCGCGCCCCCTCCCCCCCCCTCCTGTCACGATAGGCATTGATCCGCCGCTCTCCTCTAGAACGCGCCATCGTTCGTATCACCCTCCTGCTCGTGCACCCGCACAGAGGTGATCGTGCGCCGGATTGGCTTCCTCCCAGCGGCGCGCATAAGGGGATGGGGCGATGCGGAGTGGCCTTGTCAGGATTCCTCCGGCTTGAAAAAGAGGAAGCCTCCTCAGACGCCTTGGGCCCAGGCCCCCTCTGCCCTCCTGCAAGGCCGCCCGCCCTCGTCCCTCCCCCCTCTGTGAATGGCGCCGCAGGCAGAGGTCGTCGTGCGTCTGGTTGGCCGCTCTGGGCTCGCCTGGCGGGTGCGGCATCTCGCCCGAGCCGGGCGTCGTGCCTCTTCTGCGCACCGAGCGCCTGGGCCCCCCCTCCGCCCCTCCCTCTCCTCCTGAGCATGCGCGCTGAAAAGAAAGAACGCGCCGAGCTCCAGGAACACCAGCAGACGATCCGGGGCGCAACAGGGCTCCCCAGAGTGGGGTCGAGAGCTCGGGGCCCGCGCGTCGAAGCAATCAAGGCGCCTGAGGGCGGGGCCCACCCTCCCCCCCCCCCTTCTCGCGTACCGCGTCCAGGGGTATCGCTCGGGAGTGGACAGAACCCCCAACAGTGACACGTGGGCGCCGAGAGAGGGCGCCGTGGCCGTTATTTTCCAGGCTTGCGCCCGCCAGGTTTGGGCCTCAGGCCGTTTTCACTAAACCACGTTTTACTAAAGGGGGGCTCGTCCATCCCCAAATCGTTGCTGCTGCGCGAGGTGTCGGCTCCCAGAGGGAGTCCTCCCCGTCGTTGCTGCCGTGCACGCCACCCTCCCGCGCTGCGCCCCTCCATGCGCGCGCTCAGGCCCCCGACGCCGTGGTTTCTTGTTCGCGCCGTGGGCTTCCGGAGGTCTCGACATCTTCCCAGGGCCAGCTTTTCCTCTGGAGCAGTTTTCGGACGTTCCTGGGGCCGCTCCAGGGCCCCTCACGAGTGAAATCGGCGAAAATTCATCCGTCGGGATTTTGTCGGACCTGTCCTGAGTTAGTGTTTGTTTTCGCAACAAGGACCTCCAGAGGTTTTCATCCAGAGTAGTTTCAGGACCGTCCTTGGGTCCTGCATGGGCGCGGAAAATGCCCAGCCTCGACCTTCGAACTTCGAGGAGATTTGGGTACCGCGTTTGGCGATACCGTTGCCGCTGCGTGAGGCGTCGTCTCGCAGAGGAGGAAGGAAGGAAGGGAGGAAGGAAGGAAGGAAGGAAGGAAGGAAGAGGGGGAAGGGAGGAAAGTGGAGAGGAGGGAGGAAAAAGCATGGGATCGGGGACGCCTGGGTAGAGCAAGGGGAAGGAGGATTGAGAGGAAAAGGGGAGGGGCAGGACCCTATCCTCGACGCTTCAATTTGTTCGTGACGTCGGCGCCCAAGGATTTGTTCGTGACATCGGCCCCCGAGGCGCTTTCTAACGGTCCCTAGGCCAGGGGAACGGCCTCCAGAGGCAGAGAACGAGGAAGCAATGGCCGTCGCAATTCTTTGTGCGTCGCCCGGATAAGAGGGAAGGCGGGGGGGCAAGAGGGCCCAGAACTCCGACGTCGCGTTTCTTCCGCAGCATGGACTCTTGAGGTCCGGACCTGTCCCCTGGGACCGGGTTTTTGACGGTCCTGGGGCCCAGCGACGGCCCCTGGAGGCCACCCAAACTGCTCCAAACCCGACGCCGGGATCCGTTCACATCGAGAGGAGGTGTGGGGGGGCGAACGGGGGAAGTTACCCCCTTTTGCGGGGAAGTCCTTCTCGCCGCCGCTGCCGCCGCCGGCGATTGTCTCGCGCGCGAGGTGGTGCTCCAGCCGGTCCCGGCGAGGGCGCCGGAGCGCGTGCCGGACCCGTATGAAGGTGCTTTCAGCGGGGGTCTGCGCGGTGGCAGTGCTACGGTCGGGAACTTTGGCTGAGCATGTTTCAGGAGGGGAAAGAACACAGACACAATTAATCGTCGATTGCCCGGGAAAGTATGGGAGAATATGGGCATTGGGGGGGAAGACAGAAACCCAGAAAATATAGGAAAATATGGGGGATCTTTTTAGTTGTGTGTATTTATTTGTGTGTCACAGGGCCCCTTCAATGTTGCGCCGCCGGTTCTGGCCCACGCTTCGGCGCGACACGCTACTGGACCACGCTGCGGGCCCCGAGCGTCCACGTCCCGAGGCTTTCCCAGCCCTCCGTCCCGCGGAGCGGAGCGACACGCTATCCTCTCGCAGGGCATAGCGTGTTGCTGGGGCCGCCACCGCGACACGCTAAGCAACATATCCTGACCGTAAAGCGTTTTTTTTTTTTTTGTTTTTTTTTTTTTTTTTTTTTTTTTTTTTTTTTTTTTTTTTTGTTTTTGTTGTTTGTTTTTTTCTTTTTCCCCCCCCTCTTTCTTTCTTTCTTTCTTTATTTCTTTCTCTCTTTATCTCTCTCCCTGTTATATACATATAGGTACATCTGTATGCATGCATGCATGTATGTATGCATGCATGCATGTATACATGCTGTATGCATGCATGTTGTTTACATGTATATATGTATATATATATATATGTGTATACATATATGTGTACGTATGCATGTTTGCATGTCCATGCTCATGTATATGTATATGTAGCTGCATATGCATACGTATATGTACATGTTTATGTACATGTATATGCATAGGTGTATGTGTATGCGTACGTATACAGCGGCATGATATTCATAATGGTCAGGCCATGCCGCTTCTGTCCCCCCCCGTCTAACACATGCAGGTGCTTTCTTGGTATACATGATGATGAGTCATACAGCGGCTCGTTCGGTCGTGACGCTTACTTCCTTCAACCCCCAACCTGTCAACTTTGTTTGTGCTGCTGATATTCTGGAGGAGCTGAGTAACTCTCAGGTGATCAGTCTTTTTGGGAGTCAAGAAAAGGCCCTTCTTGAGCAGCTGTGGAAGTCTGGTGAGTACTGGGGTCTTAGATGGGGGTGGTGCAGCAGTGTGCATGTCAACCGAAGTCGTGGACTTTCTGCTTGGTATTGTAAGGACACTTTCAGACAACATGTTCATGGTTGTCTGTTTATTCTCCGAGGGTTGCGAGGTCGAGTGGCAGCTGTGCGTATTGAGCGAGGTTGCTGCACAATCCTACACATCCTCATGTGCGTTCCCCATGTCCCGTGGGACAAATCCAGATTGCCTGCGTGGACATCGACGGTCACGGCTCTCATGCAATCGTTGAGGCAGGCTTTCGATGTTGTGGGTACACGGTGGACGCCTGTTTTTTTGTATGGATCTGAATGCAGGCTTTACCGTAGAGAGTGGCATTGTTGGAAAGTACGGATTGCACGACACGGCTGGCCACTTTGCTACCCCGATCCTCCCCATTCTTGAAGCGCGCGGTCTCATGGTCGTGGACACGAAGTTCGACGCAGGGCATACATATTTCAATAACGCACATCTTGGCAAGACAATTGATTATAGGTGCGTCCCTCGTGACATGCATGATGGTGTGATGATTTGTCGGAGACGACGTATTTCGATGCGAAGGCTGAAGCACATAGCGAATGTAAGCTGTGGTATCATGTACCGCTGGGATTCGGACTGCACCTTCGTGTATTCGAAGCTCGGCCCGAGTAACAGCACCGTCCAGTCAACTTAGATTCGGCAGGTATGAGTTCTCTACTCCAGAAGGGGTACCCGGAGGACATATTTCATTCATTTTCCAGAGGGCAAGTTGAAAGTTGATTCCCAAGAGTTGCGAGAACGGCGTTATGATGGACGAGAGCTGGCTGTGTATAGGCCCCTTGCAAGGCATAGCCGACCCTCTTGGCAGTCCTCATCTTCCTGCCCCCCCCTTTCGCCCCCAGGGCTATCTTCCTGCCCCCTCCAGGCCCCTCAGGGTCATCTTCCTGCTCGGTGTCTGCCCGCGCCGCTTTTACCGACGGGATTCCTTAGCTAAAAACCGCGGTTTTGACGTCGGGAGTAAGGTGGCGCAGAACATCAAACAAGCCTTTTCGATTTCCCGACGCTGCAAGACGGCCCAAGAGGCTTCAAAGATCGCCCCAAGACGGCCGAAGAGGCCCTCAAAAAGGCTCCCAAGCGGCCCACGATGGCCCAAGAGGGCCCAAGAGGCCTCCAAGACTGCCCAAGAAGGGCCCCATAACGGCTCCAAGAAAGGGCTCATACGGAGATCCGAACGGACTTTTTGGGTTCTCGGTCCCAAGAGGCCCCCAGGAGGCCAAGAGGCCCTTAGAGGCTCCCAAGAGGCCCCCAAGAGGCCCTAAAACGGCTTACGATAGGCACCGAAACGGGCCCGAAGAGGCCTCGGAATTGCTTCCGGGAGGTTCCTAATAGACCTGCCACGAAATCCGAACGAACTGTCCAGAAGCTTCCATGAGGAGCCCCGGACGCCTCCAGGACAGCTCCAATAGCGCTCCAGAGTCTCCCCAAACGGTCCCAAAACAACCCAGGATGGCCTGAAGACGGCCCACGAGGCCGCCAAGATGGTCCAAGCTGGCTCGAAGATGGGCCCAAGGGTCCCCATGACGCTTCCACAACGCCCCCAAGCGGTCCCCGGAGGTACAGAAAAGGCTTCCAGTCGCTTCCCTTGTCCTTCCCAAGTGGCCCCGATAGCTTACATGTTTTCGGAAACCGATGGAAAACTGAAAGGACTGAAGAACTCGCCTGTTCATGACCGATGGGCTTCGGAGGCGTGTGGATGGCCCCGAACACCCGGAATAGCCCCGCGAGGAACCCCAGACGCGCCCCGACAGCGGCCCGAGAAGGGGAACGTGAAAAACGGACCCAAGATCTTCGCTCCAAGAGCCCCCCAGGTGGCCCCAGGAGGCCCCCAAGACGCCCCAAGAGGCCACCAAGAAACCGCCAAGAGGTCCCAAGGGGCCCCGAAGAGGCCCAAAGCAAATCCAAAAGAGGCCCGACGAGCACTTGAACAAGAAACGGAATTCACGCATTTCTTTTCCTCTCAAATTCGCCAAGGCCCATGGGGCACTCACTTTTTTAAAGGAAACCTCTGGTTCTGAAAAGGAGTGCTTGATGGGATTCGTGAGGAGCGGGCATTGGACGGGAGGATGTGCTACAGCATCGTCCGTGCATCCCGAGTTTATTTTGGTCTCCTTCTGTCCACCTTCAGCTGCTGATGTTCCTCCTGCTCCTCCTGCTCATCCTGCTCCTCGTGCTCCTGCTCCTGCTGCTCCTCCTGCTGTGCCTCCTCCTCCTCTTCCTCCTTCTCCTGCTCCTCCTCGTCCTCCCCCTCCCCCTCCTCCTCATCCACTCCGTCTCCTCCACCATCCCACTCATCTTCCTCCTTCACCTCCTTCTCTTCCTTGTCCTTCTTCTCCGCTTCTTTCCGTTCTACCTCCTCTTCTTCCTCCTCCATATATACCGAGTAGGCCCCACACAGTGGCCCTACATGGACATATGCATACATACTCGGCGCGCGGGCTGCGGCGGCGCTGGGTCCTAGTTGCCCCTCTCCATTATTGTCCTCTTCCTTTTTAACCCTCCTCCTCGTATTCCTCCTGATCCTCCCGCTCCTTGTCCTCTTCCCACAGCCCCTCTCCCCCCTGCCTTCGTCGATATTCATGTATATATACACATTTTCACACCCCATTTCGATCCCACGCCCAGCCTCATTATCTGCATATATATTTACATCCACGATTTGATTACATTACGATATACACTGTTGAAGTACCCTAATATTCTATAATCGCGTGCGTTATCTCTAGGAACAAATAGAACCCAGTCAATTCGCCCACTCATTTCAAGTAGTTTAACGACTTTAACTAATCTTGTCAGGACCAATACTTTGATTAATTTCGGCGCCTTCCTTGCGAAGCCTGCGGTGAGCTTGCGGCGCAGCCGCATTAATTCAACTTGTGGAATATACGTTCACATGTTACACTATTTCGTGGATTTTATCAAGACACCAGGGCTCCCCGCTTTCTCGCCAGGAAAGGTCTGAAATCTACTGCATGAGGTAAACTTGATAAGTTCATTAAGTTAAGAGCACTAATGGAACAACTCGGACAAATGCAGCTAATATCCAGGAACAACTGTTACACTTGAATCAATCTAAATACGCTTAAGGGCTCGATGGGGTTCATTCAATGAGTTAACTTAATTTCAGTCACTCAATGAATTCAATGTCCTTGATTATTTTAGCCCGATTCATGACATTAATTATTTTTTTGACGCGTTGCGTATCCCCAGCAGCCCATCCAAACGATGTACGGGCGAGTTGCCATAATCAGGGAAGCGGTGGAGCTTGCACTGGATCAAGAGCTGGGGAAGCCGTCAATCTGAAGTCTTGTTTCCGCCTGCGCAAGCCAATGAGCGAACCGTATGCGGTTTCGCGGACCTGCTGGATAAGGAAAGGCGGGGAAGAAGGACGAGGGATGAGAGAGAGGATGATGATGCCGATGATGATGATGATGATGATGATGATGCTGATGATGATGATGATGATGATGATGATGACGATGATGATGATGATGCTGATGATGATGATGCTGATGATGATGATGATGATGATGATGATGATGATGATGATGATGATGATGATTATGATGAAGATTATGATGATGACGATGATGATGCTGGCAATGATTACGGTGCTGATTGTGATGATGAGGAGGAGGAGGAAGAGGAGGGCGAGGAGGAGGAGGAGGAAGAGGAGGGGGAGGAGGAGTGGCACTGGCTGGTGTTCGATCCAGGTGTTTAAGATCAAGTCTGACCTTTCCTGAAGCCAGGCCAGTGGACATAGGTACCCTTTGTACGCGTGGCGGGGCAACCAGGAGGCCGACCGTCTTACGAAGGAGTGTACCCAGTTGCCGGTGCAAGGGGATGGCGTGCATAGCTGGTACGATACGGCTAGCGCAGGCATCAGGCAGGCAGGGACGTTTCTCGGATTGATGTTGGGGGAGCTGTGCCTGGAGGGCGAAGGCAGGGCCAAACCCCTCGGGCCCCGCGGAGAAGCCCCCCAACTTGAATGAGTTGCAGAACCCAGCGGACACACGATCTGTAGGGAAGGCAACATGTATGTTTGTGATGTGTGGGCGGGGAGCGTGCGAGGTCCAGGGGAGGCCTGGCTGCATTTTCTTGCCCTGGTCTGCCCACGGTCGCCGCGTCGGCACACCCCTCCCACGCGTTGTGGGTCGGCTCGGGTCCCTTGGGTCGGATTGTGTGGTGTCGGACATGCGCGGCGTTCGGGGTTACCAGGTCCCGATTATTGAAAGAGTGTTGCATTGAAAGGTCTCAGAGTTCGGCGGTTGGGAAGAGCCAGTCGATGCTCCTGGCTGGCAGGGACTTCAGCTCGAGGTGCCGCTTCGGTCGCAGCATTCGAGTAAGGATTGGAGGATCGTATTTTTGTGTTTTTTGCTCGGTCTCTTGCGCCTCGGATGCGGGAGACTGTGGCTGCGTTCGACACAATCAACAGGAGGAGGAGGAGCAGGAGGAGGAGGAGCAGGAGGAGGAGGAGGAGGAGGAGGAGGAGGAGGAGGAGGAGGAGGAGGAGGAAGAGGAGGACACTGGCGAGCTTTGGGGCTTCTTGGGGCGTCTTGGGGGCCGCTTGGCGGTCCTGGGGGCCTCTTGAGTACCTCGGAGAGCCTCTTGGGGCCTCTTCTCTCCTCTTCTCCTCCTCCCTCCACTCTCCCTCCCTCCTCCCTCTTCTCTCCTCTTCCTCATCCCTCTTCCTCTCCTCCTCACCCTTCCTTCCCCCCCGAACTCACCACCACAACCACGTCCACGACGACGTCGACCACGACCGCGATGTCGGCGACGACGACGGCGACGACGACAACGACCACGACGACGGACGACGACGACGACGACGACGACGACGACGACGACGACGACGACGACGACGACGACGACGACATCGACGGCGGGCGGCCGCGCGCCCCCCCGGCGAGGCGCCTCGCCAGAGTTGGCCGCCATCATCCGTCGCCGGGCCGAGCTCCTGGAGGGCGGCCCGCGGGCGGGCGGTGACGGAAAACGGGGCCTCCCTGCCTCCCCCCCAGCCCTCCTCCTCGGCCTCCTCCTCCTCCTCCGCCTCCTCCCTCTGCCTTCTTCGTCCTCCGTCCGTCGTCCTCCGTCCTCCGTCCTGCCTCTCGCATCCTCCTCCTCCTCCTCCTCCTCCTCCTCCTCCCTCCCCGGCCTCCTCCTCCTCCTCCTTCTTTTCCGCCTCCTTCCACTCCTCCTCCTCCTCCTCCTCCTCCTCTTCCTCGGCCTTCTTCTGGGCCTCTTCATCCTCGTTGCTCATTCTGCATTCACCCTCTTCTTCCTCGTCTTTTCCCTCCTCTTACTCAGCCTCCTCCCCCTCCTCCTTGGCCGGCTTCTCCTTCTGCACCTCCACCTCTTTTCTGCTCCGGAAGAGGGTGAGGCTCGCAGCACAGGTGCCCGACGTAAAGGGGGTCGCCCTGCGCGGCTGGACAACGTGCCAAACTGCGATCCGCACGTCCACGTCCACGTCCACGTCTTCCTCCACATCCTCCTCCTCCTCCTTCACGTCCTCCACCTTCTTCCTTTCTTCTTCACTCCTTCTGACTCGTATTACAATCCTCCATTGTTTTCCACGGTCTCTGTCTCTGTCTCTCTCTCTCTCTCTCTCTCTCTTTCTCTCCCTCTCTCACACTCTCTGTCTTTGTGTATCTGAAGCTTCTTACGTCTTACGTCTTGGTTGTGCTGTTAGGTAACCCGCTAAACAAATAGCCGCCTGGTACCCTCTTCCTCTCGCATTCCCTCGTCATGCCACCGTCGCCATGCGTTTTCTGTGAGCCGTTTTCTCGGCCCTCTTGTCTTTTTCCTCCGCCGGTCCTGCTCGCCATCTAGTGGTACCTACGAGTCGCCCACGTGCAGAACAGACGAGCCTGAGGCACAGGAGTTTGAGGCGTCTCCTCAGTCCCATCCTCTTGTGTCTTCCCCTCCCTCTGCTTTTCATTCCCCCCCTCCGCCTCGACACAGCATGAAAGCGGAAGCGATTCGTCCATGCCTTTTCACACCTCGCAGCGGGCTACCCGTGCCTTTTCTGCGTATGCATCCGCAGCGCGGGCAGACAAAGCAAGACGAGTTGGCCCGTCCCTCCAGCTCGAATGATTTCCGCCTTGCGGACTGGCTGGGCCATGGCGTACCAGACCTTGTTGATCCCCCTTCCTCCGCCTCCTTATTTTCTTCCTCCCCACCCCACTCCCTCACGCGCTTCCGCACGCGCGTGTCCGTGTGCGCGGGGAGGGGGGTGGAGGGTCAGGGCAAGGGGGCGGTGGGTGACAAGGAGCTGTGGAAGGAGGCAGGGGCTGGAGGGGAGGGAAGAGCGGAGAGAGTGGAGTGAGTGGAGGGATGAGGGGGGGGAGTTTTTGGGGCAGGGGTGGACAGGTCTCAGGGCTTCTCGACTGGTCGGCAGTGATCTGGGGGCAGGAAGAGAAGGAAGAGCGATGATAATGACGGTGGGGACAATGATGCGTCTGATGATGATGATGATGATGATGATGATGGTTGCGGTGGCGGTGGTGTTGATGATGATGCTACTGACGAGGTTTATGCCAATACCGATTTTGATGATACTGGCGCTAAGAATAATGATGATGTTGTTGATGATGCTGACGACGTTGATGATGATGATGGCGATTCTTGCGCTGATAATGATGCTGATGCTGATGATGGTTATGATGATGGCGGTGATGATGATGATGATGCTGGTGCTGATGATGATGTTGATGCAGATGATGATGCTGATGATGATGGTGGTGGTGATGTTGATGCTGAGTATGAGTACGATGATGGTTTTGACTATATGGATGGTGATGATGATGATGCTGGTGGTGGTGGTGATGATGCTGCTGATGATGATTATGATGATGGTGAGGACTATGATGATGCTGCTGCTGCTGCTGCTGATTATGATGATGATGATGATGATGATGATGATGATGGCGGTTGCGGTTGCGGTGGTGGTGGTAGTGGTGATGATGCTGATGGTGGTGGTGATGATGATGCTGATGATGATGCTGATTATGATGATGATGATGATGATGATGATGATGATGATGATGATGATGATGATCATGATGATGATGATGATGATGATGATGACGACGACGACGACGACGACGATGATGATGATGATGATGATGATGATGATGGTGGTGGTGGTGGTTGTGGTGATGATGATGCTGCTGATTATGATGATGATGATGCTGCTGATGATGATGATGATGATGCTCTTGCTGCTGCTACTGATGTTGTTGATGATGATGATGATGATGATGATGATGATGATGATGATGATGATGATGATGATGATGATGATGATGATGATGACGACGTGATGGCCCCGGTTCGGTTCGGTTCGGTCCGGTTCTGCACTCCTTCGTGTCGGTTCGGCTGGTCGGGCTCAGGTCGCCGTCCGATTCGGTCCATCCGGTCGGGTTCGGCCGGTTCGGTTCGGCCGTTCTGGTTCGGCTGGTTTGGTCGGGTTCGGCCGGTTCGGTTCGGTCGGTTCGGTTCGGCCAGGGGGTTTTGGTTCGGCCCCTTCCGGGCCCCTCCGGGCCCTCCCGGGGCCCCCTCGGAGCCCCATCCAGGACTCCTCGGGGCCCCCTAGGGGCCGCCTCTCTCCCTCCCCCCCTCCCTCCCGCCCTCCGTCCCTCCCCTCCCCCTTCCCCTTTTCCTCCTCCTCCTCCTCCTCCTCCTTCTCCTCCCGCCGTAGCCATTTTGGTTCAAGGGACTTGCTCCTGAACTTCCCAACCTCGCTCAAGTTGGCACACGGCCATTTGGGCATTTTTCGATCTCTCCTCCCAGGGCTCATCTGAGCCAACCTAGTGCATTCCTCTGCCGCGCCAGGATGTCGGGGGACAGCACGCCGCTCACGGTGGGCAGCATGCGTGACCTGATGAACGAGTCATGGGCGCAATGAACACGAAGGTGGCTGAGGAGGTCAGGTCGCAGCTTGCACCGATATCCGAGCATATCAACAGGCATAACGGCGAGCTGGTGGCCAGGATGAGCAACAGGAGACCATCAGGCAGCTGGACCTCCGAGTACGTGCGAATGAAGCTTCTGACGGACGTTCTACTCCGGCTTCGTCGGTGACGGCATCATCTGACCGCTCCAATTTGAGGTCCATCGGCACGGCAGCTTCTGAGAGTGGTGCCACACTTCTCTCACGCTCGCAAGGTGTGGATCGGCACGTGGCCCAGACCCGTTCTGGACAAGATCCGCCGAGGACACTACGAGCAGATCGAGCAGAACTTACCCATCGCGGCTGACTCGACGGGCGATTTCCACCGCGTAGCGCAGTCGTACGTCATCATCTTCCCGACCATGGACAAGGCAATGGAGTTCCGCCTCCAGGTGGCGGCCGCTTCAACGACGTGAGTTAACCCGCGTAACGGTAAGCAATATCCTCTTCGTGTTCGTGGCGACCTCCCTACGGATGTCAGGGACAAGCAGCGGCAATTCTCGAAGCTGTACACGCCCATGCGCGACCTCGTGGGCAAGAGCTCCAAGTGGTCTGAGGGATGCAGGCTCGGCGTCAACGGCTTCAAGGGCACTCTCTTCGTCACGAATGGTGACGACATCTGGACTCTGATCACGACCAACCAGATCAGCATTGACCAGTTCAACTTCGTTCCCGTGGGCGACGAACTCGCGGACTGGGGCATCTCCGTCCAGCAGGTCGAGGAGATCATCGGCGTTGTCCAAACTGCGCAATAGGAAGTTCTTCCAGGGCAGATCCATGCAGCTGCAGGTGGGTGTGGGCCTGCCGCTGACTTTGGCTCGTCGACGACGTCTGATTTTTTTCTGCCCGACCAGGTCCTGAGCATATGCTCGTGGAGTTGCCAAGCTCTCTTCTACTCAGCCTAGTCCCCTGGGAAGCGATGCAAGCCTACATGTGAGATCCTGAGGAAGCTTTTTTTTGTTTCCTCTTCTGCTTCCTCTCTTTCTGCAGCATGCAGGAGGTTCACGGGTGTCTCGGGGATCTGGATAGTCTCAGCAGCGAGCTTCCAGGAGTTCACTTTTTTGGGTCCTTCTCGGAGACCGAGAGTGATGGAGGTGTGTTGCCATCATTGCGTCCTCCCTCTTCGACCTCTTCTCAGGGCATTCCGAGGTTGCTGTGGTCGACGGCCGCGTGCATGTAGTGTCTCTGTGGTGTCGGCGTGGGCGATTACAGATCGCCAACTTGCATCTAGTGCCAGATTGGAGTGAGACATGCACCAGGACTGTACTGTTCCCTTTGCGCACCCACTTATCCCCATGGCTTCTCGCCACGTCCTTCCTCGCTGGTGGCTTGAACTTTTCGGTGACGGGTGAACGCAGATATGGCGTGGTTGCGGGTGAAACGCTCGCGTCGTTCTCTAGGGTCGCTAGGCACTTCGACGTGAATCTTCCCCTCCTATGGCCAGACCGATCAGCTACGCTATACACGCCGTGCTAGAGTTCGCACGCTTCCAAGCATTGCTCGACTAGACAAAATGCCCACGAGCCTGCCGACCCCCATCGTCCTCGACTTTACCACCGACTGAGATCTTGCCGATCAGAATGTTCCATCGGATCACGTGCCCGTTCGTCTAGTGCGTCGTCCTTCTCAGTGCCCCATCTACTTTTCAAGGTGCTATGGGAGACAGGCGTGATGTTGATCTCCCTCTTATCCCAGGCTGGATTTTGAAGCGTGCCCAGTTTCGTGTCAGCTTCGACTCGCTGGTGGAGGCCAATGAGAGCAGCCTCGACCCGCCCGCGGCCGTGCTCGAGGCGAGGGGCTTCAAGAATGCCGCTGCCAGGGGGGCCAAATATCATGTTGAAGAGTTCGGGGCAAAATGTAACCCATCCAAAAGCAGCCCAGTGCCTCGAGCTCCTGAGGGCCCACCGTGGGGATCACCGTCGGTTGGTCTGTCGGGCCATCTCTGGTTTCTCGGAGCTTTCGGAGTTCTACGACGCGCTGCTGATGGCGTGGACTGATATGCTTGGTTTCCTGGAAAGGTTTTGGCAGATTTTGCTTCGAGAGTTTGCCGGGTGGGGGGCATGCTGTTCGGAATGATCCTGGCTCTTCCAGTGCCTAGAAGGATTCTCATCTCGCGCGTATCCGCAGGCTCTCTGCTGCTTGGGCACGGACCCGACCTCGTATCCATCTTGCTGCAGTGGTGGAGCCAGGAGGAGAGCGCGCTGCCGAGCCAGATGAGATGGCCGAGTTGCTCGCCGAGTATTGGGGATAGATGTTCACCAATTCTTCGCACCCATATGCATGCCTGTAGCCGCTGCTTGAGCGCCTCTCGCCTGTGCGCAGCAGCGGGGGGCAATTCGTTAGTAGCACGCATACCTACCACAAATGGGTCTTGAGCCAATCTGATTTCGCCCATCTTACCCGGCGTAAATGAGACTCGGCCCCAGGTCCCGGTGGGATCAGATACTGCAGGTGGAAAGCTACCTCCTCCCCGGTCTACGACGCGTCGTATAACCTGTGCGCTCGCCTGATGACGGGAAACAGACTCGATCCCACCTTCGACTATTGTAGGATGATGTGTCTTCCGAAAGGCTCTTTCTTTGGAAGTGGGGCTGAGGCGAGACCTTCGAGTGTCAGTGGGCCGCTGTCCTTGAGCAACGCCGACAACGAAATCGCCTCGGCTGCCGTCGCTTCGCCGCTGAACGCCGTTGCCGCCGACGTCGTCGACTGCTCCCAGAGAGGGCCCGTGGCGGGGCGCTCGCTTATCGACGACCTCGTGGAATCCGATGCTCGCTGCCAGTTATGGGGAAACTTGCGCGGGCTAATGGGCAGCGGCGCCGTGCTGCTCGACTTTAAACAGGCGTTCCCGTCGGTCTTCTACGACCGGGTCGCGGCCGTGCTCGACAGGTTAGGCGTGCCAGTGTGCGTCCGCTTCGCGATTCGCGCCCTGTGCGACCAGATCTGGACGATGGCGCCTTTTCTCGGGTTGCGGTTTCTGGGTCTCCAGGGGTGTGAAACAAGGGCGCCCCATGAGCGGAGTGCTGTTCGGCTGTTCGCCGTCGTCCTCCACCGAATCCTGATCAGAGTGAGAAGGTGCCCGCAATCGTGCGAGTTCATCTTGCCGTGCTTCGCGGGCGACATTGCGCTGGTGGCGAGAAACCTCGTGACTGCGTTGCCTATCGTCGTGAAAATGCTAGTGTTCGCCTGCCAGTGGGCGGGCCTGGCCCTGAATCTCGACAAATACCACATAATGGTGCTCCACATTCCAGACAAAGAACCGCACTTCATCTTTCTCAAAAACAAGATCCCCGAGATGCACATACAGCAAGTCCAGTTTCGGGCCCAGTGGTTTATATCTCGGCGTGGTCGTCGGCCCCGACGAATGCTTTGAGAGCTGGTGCGCCCCTTCTCAGAAACTGTTCGAGCGATGCGCGTGCGTCGATGGTCTCGAGCTGTGCATCAGCCTATCCTTTTTCCGCCTACAACGCGTTCGCCTTCCCTGTCCTCTCTCGCAGTGCTACGAGCCGATCAGGTATGTGTGTGCCAAGGTTCGCAAGGGGCCTCAGAGGCTGACGAATGCGCTCAGGTGCGCCTTTGCCGCCTTTGCCCCGCTCGCCTTGCACCGCGTGGAAGAGATTGGACTTGAGTGTTGGGCTCAGGACTTGAAAGTGCGTGCTCCTGCAGCGCTTCTTCGGTCAGCAATTTGTTCGGATGCGTTTTGGGGGATGCGTGGCTGGCCACGTGAGATTCGGCAAGACGACGATCATATACTCGCCCGCGTGAGTATGTTCCCGAAATCGAACTCGATCATCGCCCACATGACACGCGCTGTTGAGGAATACTAGCATCTCCCAGGTTTTCCCCGAGATGTGAGGCCAAAGCTTTTACAGAGTAGAATCACGCGCTTTTTGAAACGCCACCGCTTCCCGATCCCGGATTCCAGGGATTTGATTCCCCCGAGGCTGTGGTATTGGACCCCGGAGGCCGCGGGTCCCGCAGTGGACCTCGCTTTCTTCGGGTTGAAATTGATAGGACAGCGATGTCCCCCGAGTATCACGAGTGCGGTTCTAAGAACTTTGTTCAATGCCTGGCCGGCCTCGCGGCGCTTCAGAGGAGGCGCCCATGTCTGCAGGCTGGGCTGTGCGAGTATGGGGGGTGATTGTATAGAGCATTACTTTAGATGCCCTCACGTGATTGAGTGTCTCTCCTCCGTCCTCCCCGCTCTCCCTGCGGGTTGGGTGGCTTCTCGTCCCTTTTCTGCATTCCTCCCCCTGTCTTTGGGTCTCGGCGGGCTCCTGCTCTTGCTGCCTTCATGCTTTTGCGATCGATCTTGTCCATAACGCTTATAATCTGAGTAGGACCAGGGAGCAAGGACACCGAACCGCCACAAGGGGTGCATTCGCCGCAAGGCTCCGTCAGCAGGTCCGCCCCAACGCGGGGCTGCGCGAGCTGTTGGGCTAGCCAAGGACACCCGTGGGACCTCTCTCTTCCCCCCCCCTCAGCCGCGTGCCGCTCCTCCTTCTCCTCCTCCTCTTCCTTGTCTCGTCCTCCTCCTCCTTCTCCTCCTCCTGTTCCTCTTCCTCCTCCTCCTCCTCCTCCTCCTCCTCCTCGGGGCCCCCTCGGGGCCTCTTCGGGGCGACCCAGGACCCCCCCCTCTTTCTTCCCTCCTTCATTCACCCCCCAGAGGGGCCCCGAGGAGACCCCGAGTGGGCGAGGGGGCCCCGAGGGGGCCACGAGGGGGCTACGAAAGGCGACGAAGGGGGGGCACGAGGGGGGGGGGGGCACGAGGGTTGCTGGGGGGATGTGGGTCCGGTTGGCTCTCTCGCGAGACCCGCCGGCGGGGTCGCGTCTGGTTTGGCCGGTTCGGTTCGACGGGCCGGTTCGGTCTGGCCGGTTCGGTTCGTCGTGCCGGTTTGGTCCGGTTCTGCCAGTTTGGGTCGAGGCCCGGTCTGGTTCGGCCGGTTCGGTTCGAGGACCGGTTCTTGGTCTTCGGTCCGGTTCGCGGCCATCATGTGATGATGGAGATGCTGTGGTCGATGATGATGATGATGATGATGATGAGGATGATGATGATGATGATGCTGATGATGATGATGATGATGATGAGGATGAGCAAATTGATGATGATGATGATGAGGATGATGATGATGACGATGATGATGATGATGGTGAGCATGATGCTGATCGTTCTGACTATCATGTTGATCATGATGCTGCTCTTGCTCATGATGATGTTGATGATGATGCTGCTGCTGATGATGACGACGATGCTGCTTCTGCTGCGACTGCTGCTGATGATGATGACGACGACGGCTGTGGTGATGAACAGGAGGAGGGGGATGACCAGAGGAATGAGGAGAGGGACGATGGTGGCCGTGGTGCTGGTGTTGGTGAGTATCATTATGATCATTGCGCTAATGGTGAGCGAGGTGTTGATGGTCGTTGTGGTGAGGATGATGGTGGTGACGATGACGATGCTAAAAATGATGAGATGATGATGATGGTGGTGGTGATGATGATGACGATGATGATCATGATGATGATGATGATGATGATGATGATGGTGATGATGATGATGATGATGATGATGATGATGATGATGATGATGGTAATGATGCTACTGCTGATGATGACGATCTGCAGGGATTGCGGCTACGATGACGATGCTGATGGTTGTGATGATGACGAGGGGGATGGTGTTGAGAACGGTCATGATGATGCTGATGCATCTGTTTGTGCTGATGTTGATATTGATGTTGATGTTGACGGTGATGATGAGGATGATGGTGCATATGATGATACTTGTGGTGGTGCGGATGAGGAGGGAGTAGAAGGAGGAGGTTAGAGCTGGAGGAGGAGGAGGACAATACGAGGGGCAGGGGTGATGATGATGATGATGATGATGATGATGATGCTGATGCTGATGATGATGATGATGATGATGATGATGCTGATGCTGATGCTGCTGCTGCTGATGATGATGTTGATGATGATGATGATGATGATGATGATGATGATGATGATGGTGCTGATGATGCTGATGATGATGCTGTTGCTGCTGCTGACGAGGATTGTGCTTATGCTGATGCTGCTGCTGATGATGATGATGATGAGGAGGAGGAGGAGGAGGAGGAGGAGATGGAGGAGGAGGAGGAGGAGGAGGAGGTGGAGGGAGAGCAGGAGGAATACGAGGAGGGAGACTCTCCCCCCCTCCCCTGCCAGCGCTTCGCAGCCGAATCTTGCTCCAGGAGCGTCGGGGTTTGACCGCCGCGCTCAGCAGCCCCTTCGGGGCCGCCAGTCCCCCTCCCCCCCCTGCAGTGCTCTCTCGTTCTCTTTCTTTCTGGCGGATGGCCTGGCGAGAGAGCATGAGGTGGCAGTGGATAAGGAGGGGGCGAGGGAGGGAGGAGGAGAAGGAGAGGAGGGATGAGGAGGATGAGGATGACCAGACTAAACCCAAGATGCGTCAACGATACTGGAAGACACGTTTCCGTCCCAAGTAGTCCCATGCACAAGTAGTTGTAAGCTTTCCGTTTCACTGCATGAACCGCACCATTGGAAAACCAGCATTTTGAGGGCTTCCTCCCATTGAGACGATAGCCTCGTTTTGAAGATAGGTCTGCCTAGCATCCTTCTAGCGGGGAGCAAGGAGTGCGAAAAGGTATGGCCATATGGTTCATCGAAGTGTCTGGCGAGTTTCCTGTTCTACGATAGCTTCGAGTCTCCTCTATCGTATGTCCACAAGCCAAGCCTTCCGCCATGCTGGGTGGCAGTGGCTCCTGCCGCCCAGAGAGAGGCACCCATCTTTTTGTGACGAGCGCGGTTCGCTCCATCAGCTGCTCAGGACTCTATCTGCAGCGACAGCCATCCGGCGGGCTGAAGTATCTTGTGCGTTGCTAGGTTTGCATGGCTTCCGTGCATCTGCGGAGTCCCCAGTGCAGCTTGCCCGTTGCCACGTCGACTCTGCTCCTGCTTAGTCCTCCTGCGCGTGGATTAGCGACAGGTCCCGTTTTTTCCGTGCGCAGCCGGCGCGCTCCGTCGCCAGATCAGGGCCTCGTGATGCGCCAGACCTACGGACCCGTAGTCCATGTGAGCCGCTGCGGCCGCTCTCCAGCGTAGGCCGTGCACATCAGTGCTATCAGGCCGCTGTGAGAGTTCGTTCGCCGTGTGAGTTCCCTGCGATCGTGGGACAAAGAGCAAGGCGCCCTGCCGCGCCGCGCTCGTCGGCGGCGCCGCCCGACGGCGCCGAGAGGCGCCACGCCGTCGGGCGGCCCTGCCGCCTTCGGCTGCGGCACGGCTGGGGCCGCCACTGCAGCGCGCGCGCACGCCCAGGCCTGGCCGGCAGGGGTCCTGCCGCGCGGGCGAGGCGCGGCAGAGGGGTCCTGCCGCACTGCGCAGCACGGCAGCGCGCTGCGCCGCAGAGCCGCAGCGGGATGGCCCGCGCCGCAGTTTGCGCGGCGAGATGCGCCCCGCTGGCGGCCGCCGGCGCGGTCGCCCGCGCGAGGCGTGGGGGTGCCACCATCAGCAGCGGGGTCGGGCGGGCGGCCGACGACCAGGGCCCCGCGGCACGAGGCGTGAGCTACAGCTGCGCCGGTCGTGAACAGACCTCCCCCCTCTCGCCTCGGTCAGATGTCGTCGCCACGGCCAGGCGCGCCCTCAGAACTAATTCTTGAAGGCCTTCGCGGCGACAGCCTTGACGACGGGATTGGCCAGCGCCCTCTTGGCCCAGCGTTTCTACGGCAGCTTCTGGAAGCTGGCCCGGCTTCTTGGTCTCCTGCGGGTCCCTGGGGCTGTACGCGAAGCGTTGGCCCAACGGGTGGGCAGGATTGCGCAGGATCTTGCCAGAGAGCTGGCCCAGGATTCTCAGATGAGCAGTCTCATTGCCATTGGTTCGAGTGCAGACAATTGAGGAGGAGGTGGAGGAGGAGGAGGAGGATGAGGAGGAGGAGGAGGGAGAAGGAGGTGGAGGAGGAGGACGAGGTGGAGGAGCAAGAGGAGGAGGTGGAGGAGGAGGAGGAGAAGGTGGAGGAGGAGGAGGAGGAGGACGAGGAGGATGAGGACGAGGAGGAGGAGGGAGGAGGAGAAGGAGACGAGGAGGAGGAGGGACGACGACGACGAGGAGGAGGAGGAGGAGGAGGAGGAGGAGGAGGAAGAGGAGGAGGAGGAGGATGAGGAGGAGGAGGAGGAGGACGAGGAGGAGGACGAGAAGGAGGAGGAGGAGGAGGAGGAGGAGGAGGAGGAGGAGGAGGAGGAGGAGGAGGAGGAGGAGGCAGCCAGCCACAGGTCAAGGTGATAAGAAGTCTCGGGTGCGTGGCTCCGTCACGGGCTCCGCGTCTCCACCTGCCGACCGCCCAGCGGGGCCGCGCGCCTGCCAGGGCGGCCGGGCACCTCGCAGAGCGGGTCGCCAGCAGCTGCGCCGCGATGCCCCGCATGAGCGTCGCGTCGAGCTGCGCCCGCCAGCGGCGAAGGACGTTGCCCGGCAGCCGGCCCTTCCGGTGGGCGCACCTAACATGCGCCGCCGCGCAGTGCTCCAGGAGGGCCTCCGCGCGCGCCCCGAGGCGGCCGAAAGTTTCGCGCGAGGCATGCCAGACCACCCGGCCGCCAGCAGGCGGGTAGCGGCCGTCCTTCTCGCCCTCGGCCGCGCGCGCCGCGCCCCTTGGCTCCCGCGCAGCCCCGGGCTGGAGGAGGGGGAGGAGCAGGATAACGTTTCCCCTCCTCATGCTCTTTCCTCCCCGCTCCTGGCTCCCTGCTCAATCCTTTCCAATCCTCCTGCTCATCCTCCTCTTCCTCCTCCTTTTCCTCTTCCTCCTCCTCCTCCTCCTCCTCCTCCTCTTCCTCCTCCTCCTCCTCCTCCTCCCCTTAATGTATCGGCAAGCCTACAAACGATGTCGCTTCGGATGCGATGGTGAAGATGAGATCAAACACTATTTTGGAAGCGCCTCCTCCCCTCTCTTCCCGACTGGCGGGGAACTTGGGGCGACCCCAGAGCTTGTTTCGAGTTGTTTTCTCTGCCCTTTGAGTCCTCTGAGAAACTCCATGCTGTTGCTGTGGCTGCCGATTTAATCCTCCCTAGCTTTAGGCAGTTGCCTGCGAGGGGCAGCTTCTCGCAGAGGGTTGGGAGGCAGTGCCTCGAAGGCCGAATGCGTCTGACTGCGAAGCGGTCGGCGAGAGCACGGGCTCTCGCAGTGTGAGGGTGCCTCGGCGAGGCGCACATACACAGGCTCGGCACGCCTCAGGGGGCGGGTCTCCTCCACCTTCTCCTCCTCCTCCTCCTCCTCCTCCTCCTCCTCCTCCTCCTCCTCCTCCCTACCGCGGACTGCAGTCCTCGCTTGACACTTCCGCCTTGTCGTTCCCCGGGCTGTTCTTGTTCTTCGACCCCTGCGGCGACGCTGACTCGGTTACCGACGAGGAGGTAGGCAGAAGAGGACATGGATCAGGAGGAGCGGCAGGATGGTTGCCCGCCAAGGAGTGGGAGAGTGAGGAGGAGGAGGAGGAGGAGGAGGAGGAGGAGGAGGAGGAGGAGGAGGAGGAGGAGGAGGAGGAGGAGGAGGAGGAGGAGGATCCGAGTGGTCCGAGTTTGGGGATGGGGCGCGCGGCAGCGCACGGAAGAGTGCAGGTCGGTCGTCCTGTCGCTCTGCGCCCTCGGCCTCCCTTGCGCTGCAGGGTGGCCCAGACGCCATGTACGAGGCGCTGGTCGTCCTGCTGCTGGCAGGCACTCGGGGAGCGGGGGGGGGCAGAGCCAGGGGCCGGGAAACGTCCGCTGTACATCTGGGAGTTCGTTCCTGGCGGTCTTCCATTCTCGGGATGCGTTTCGCTGGCTGCGCCTCGCCGGGAGGCGCCCAGGGGTGCCTGGATCGATGCGAGCGGCCGCAGGAGACCCGAGTTATGACCCGAAAGCGGGACGACGAGGAACGAGGATCATTGAGGGGCAGGCTTTCTCAGAAGCGGCAGGGCTTCTCAGAGGCCTCCAGCTGGGAGATCTTTGAGAGTCCAGATGCGGGTTCTTTGTCAGTCCGTGGGGGCCGAGATGGTGGAATTGTCGGGGGCGGCCGAGCCGCTCTGAGACTCCCCGAGTCACTGCTTGCCCTCGTAGGGGTCTCGCTTGCGCTCCCGGGAGGTGGCCCTGCCCGGCGCAGGCGGCCGTTCGCGCGCTGGTGCTCTCTCTCTCTTGCTGCCTCGTGCCTTTGTGCTCGGCGGTCGGGTCCCTCTCGCCAGTCCCCTCGCTCGCCGCCGAAGTTCACTTTTCGGGTCATAACTCGGGTCTCCGGCGGCCGTTCGGGACGATCCAGGCATCTCCGGAACGCTCTCGGCGAGGCGCAGCCGCTGGAACGCATTCCGAGGGCGGCAAGCCGCCGAGAAACCACGAACGCGCCCGAAAACCTAGAAGCTCGAAGTTCGAACCTCGAAGTTCTCACTTCCCCCCCAGTTATGCCTCAGTGCCCTGGTGCCGCATCGGTCCGCCTGGCATCGGCGACGCCTCGGCGGCAGCGCGCCGCGGCCAGCCGGGGCGGAGCTCGAGCCGAGCTCGAGAGCCGGCTCGCGGAGCGCAGCGGGCGCCGCGCGGGGGGTCGGGTCGCGCCGCCCTGCGCCTGGGTGCCATGGGGGCGGGGCCGCGGCCGAGCAGGCACTCACCACCCACCAACCCACCCCAACCCAACTCGAAGGCCCCGATTTGCCCTCCATGTCCAGTGGAGGGGGGGGTATGTGGAACCCGTACCCCCCCCCCCAACCCGAAATTCGGGTCTTCGGGTTGGGTTGGGGTAGTCTGGTAGGTAGTCAGGCACTGAGCTGGGGGCTGTTGGAGTGCCACCTCTGGTCGGTGCCCTTTGGCGGCCTGCCGTCAGCCCGCACAGGAAGGAGGAGCCACTTTACAGGGTTACCCTTGCCTCCTTCCCCCGCGGCCCATCCTTGGCCGATTCGCTGGCCGCGCCCCGCTCGCAAGGTGTCGACATGGCCCTCCAAGGCCCTTGCATCCATATCGTGCGTGCTTCTTTTACTTCTTGATTGTGTAGTCCTTGATGGTTGGCGCTCTATGGAGCTTTCTGTCTGGTGCCCCGTGGCCAGTTCCCACTCGTGCCCACATGGTCGGTGCCCTGAGGGTGCGCCCTGTTGCTTGCACCACATAGGTTGAACATCGAGGATGGCAATTTTTTTTCGGGGGGGGGGTCCACGCGCTGGCATCATTGTTCAGGACAGCATGAAACATAGTTTCGTTCCCAACGCGCCGTTTCTTGAGGTGGAACTTACGCTTTGCACTACCAATTCTAGCTGTAGGGCCATCCGTGGCCCTAGGGGAACGCCTTCTCGGCTTCGGGCGGGAGGAAGACGCCCACTGCGAGCCACCGCCGCCAGCTGCCTTCTGGAAAAGTCATGCGGCCAACCGTGGGGCCCAAGTTTGGCCAAGCTATTGGACAAGTGTTTCCCCAGCCGCTGTGGAAACCCTTTGGGGGAACACTTGGGGACGCAGGACGCGGCATAGAACATGGAGTCATGCAGGCACGATACCACCTCTGAGCTAAAATGAACATGGAAGCACAAGTCAAAAGATAAGAGGTGCTGCATGCGAGGTCAGTCAACCATCGCACGCCAGAGAAACCCAACGAATTGAACTAAAGTTTAGCTCCCGTTGCTGGGTGCCGCCCGTCAGCGAGCCAGTCCCTGCCTCTACGGCGGGCGGGGTTCGGGGGACGCGAGGGGCAGACCTCCCCAAGGGCATCGATTTTGGCAGAACCGATGGCCACACGAGCCCCGCACCGAACACAGAATAAATATGGCCCCGAACGCTGGACCTTATGGCCGTCACATTCGAAGAGAGTCCCACTCCCCACCGCCCCGTCGGCAGCGGCATCAGCCCCCCCAGCCACGGCAGCAGCAGCAGCAGCAGCAGCAGGACCGTCCCCCCTTTGGTTACGCCACCCTAGCCGCTCGGCCGCTGCGGCCAAAGCGGCAAGCATAGGCGACGGGTCACACTTGGCCCCTGGCTTCAACGAGCTCTTGGCGCTGGCTGGGGTCCTGGCCACGGCCAGGCAGCGCCTGCACTGAAGGGAACCAGCAGGGCCTAAGGGGACGGGATCATGAGCTATCACCACGAGCCTCGGGCCTGCGGGTGCCGCCGCCGCATGCCGGGTAGGGGCAGCATTGGCGCACGCAGGCTTAGCACAGATGATTTGGACAGCTCGCGCCAAACAATCAAACGATTTTTTACACTCGGCCACCGAGGACTCCAAGGCAGACACCGCAACTTCGGCTACCGCGGCGTCTTGTGCGCCGAGCTTGGCAAAGAAATCGGCCCACGCATTGCCCATAAACCGCCAGAGGTCCTCCGCCGAGGCACCAGCTTCCACTAACACCTCAAGCGACCGATGCGCGGGAGTCCAAACGAAGCGAGGACACGGGAGGAGGAGGAGGGGGAGGAGGAGGAGGAGGAGGAGGAGGAGGAGGAGGAGGAGGAGGAGGAGGAGAAGGAGGAGGAGGAGGAGGAGAGGGAGGAGGAAGACCAGTGTAAACCCAAGGCGCATCAACGATATTTCAATAAACCTCCAAGTTCCTCTTCATATGCGCTTGCACTGATTCATTTTCACTGATGGCAGTGCCCCGTTGGAAGACAGCAGTTTGACAGTTCGGGATTGTGCCAGAACGCCATTCCTGGGACATCGACCCCTCGAACCACTGTTACTGTTGCTTATTGACGATCCTGGATCGTGCCAGGTCACCATTCCTGGGACAACAAAGCAGCGAATCAACGTGACTGTTGCGCCCTGACGTTCCGACATCGGGTCTTAACGCCATGTTTGGGACGCTACCATGAGAATTCTTGAACTTCTTGCAAACTCTTACGGCGAATGTGCGTGGCGCTAAGGCGAGACCCACATTTAGAAAAGTTCCCGCCCTCCATCCATGGAAACTTGTATAACGAATGTGCGCGGCGTTGAGGCGACACCCTCATTTTGAAAACGACCCTCCCTCTTGCACGCGGAGCAATTTCGCAACGCCGTAGCCCGGGTGGCTCGACGCACGAGCGGATCGCCCGTGCCGCGCCGCGACGGAAGAGTGTGCGGCGTTCAGGCGATAACAACATTTCCAAAACGGGCCGCCCTCCATCCGTGAAGTTCTGGCAACTTTTGGGAACGAATGTTGCGTGGAGCTAAGGGGGAACTACATTTTGAAACTGTATCGCCTTACATCCGTGACGCTCTTGCAATCATTTATTACGAATGTGTGCGGCGCTGAAACGAAGACCACATGTTGAAACGGGCAGCCAAACGTCCGTGATTTTTTTGCACATGTTTTAAACAACTGTAAGCAGCGCTGAGGCGAGAGCCACATTTTGAAAACGTGCCGCCCTCCATCCGTGAAGCCTTTGTTCATTTTGAAGACGAGAGCTGCACGGCGGTAAAGCGAGAGCCATATTTTGAAATCTGACCGCCCTCTATCAGTGAAGCTACTGCAGATCTTAACCTCCAGGATCACAAATAGTGAGGAAGACTCAGGCGCAACGCCCAGCCTTAGTTGCCTCGATACGCGCGTTTTGAAACGCAACACCTCCCGTGTTCCAGACGTCTGTGTCAACACCTTGCGTGTTGGCTCCACGTATCGGACCACGTTTTGGCGAATGTATCGCGTCGGACCTACGTTTTCAGCCTACGTGTTGAGTTCCGTATCGATAAACTGTACGTGTTGCGTGTTGCGTATCGGGGCAGCTAAGCGCCCAGCCCGCCCTTTCGACAGGCCTCAGGTCGCGACAGGGAGGAGTTACCTATAAGGAGAAGGGATGGAGAAGGAAGAGGACCATTGTAAACCCAATACTCACCAACGATGTGACACTAAACCTTACCTCCAAGTTCCCTCTTCATGGGTTCCTATGAGGATCTATCTTCGCTGCGTGAAGAGCCCCGTTGGAAGACAGCCGTCTGACAATTTTCAACCGTGCCGAACCACCATCTGTGGGACTTCAGCGACTTGAATCAACGTCACTGTTGCGACCTGACGATCCGAGACCGTGCCAGAACATTCTGTGTGGGACGTCAGCGCCGCGAACCAACGTTACTGTCGCGCCTTGGCAGTCCTAAATCGTGCCGGGGCGCCATATCGGGGACGCCAGCCACAAGAATCTTTGACACTGCTGTAAGCGATTCAGACCACTTGTGCGCAGCGCGATGGCGAGCGACACATTTTGAAAACCGCCCGCCCTCCATCCCTGAAGCTTTTGCTGGTTGCAAGTTTTCTGAAATAATGTGCGCGGCGCTCAGGCGAGAGCCACAGTTTGAAAACAGACCGCCCTCCATCCGTGAAGCTCCTGCAGCGTTTGTAAGAGGAATGTGCGTGGTGCTCAGGCGAGAGCCACATTTTGGAAGCCTCCTGTCCTCCATCCGTGAAGCTCTTGCAAACTTGTATAACGAATGTGCGCGGCGCCGAGGCGACAACCACATTTTGAAAACGACCCTCCCTCTCGCACGCGGGGCAATTTCGCAACGCCGTAGTCCGGGTTGCTCGACGCACGAGCGCATCGCCTTTGCCGCGACGAACCTCCCTCAATCCGCGAAGCCCTTGCGAATTTCAAGCGTCAGGATCATAACTGGTGAGGAAGTGTCGGGCGAAATGCCATGCCCGGCCTACCGACCAGTCTCGAGGCGCGACAGGGAAGAGTTTGTTATAAGGAGGGGGATGAGGGGGAGGAGGAGGAGGAGGAGGAGGATGATGATGAGGAGGAGGAGGCGGAGGAGGAGGAGGAGGAGGAAGAGGAGGCGGACGACGAGGTCGAGGACGAGGACGAGGACAAGGACGAGGACGAGGACGAGAAGGAGGGGGGAGCCATCTGGAGCCGTCTTGGAGCAATGTTGTGCAGTCTTGAGACCACCTTGGGGCCATCGTGGGCCCTCTTGGGGCCATCGTGGCTTGGAGCCAGCTTGGACGGGAAAGCAGTTGAGAGACGCGTCGTCCAGGTTCGTGGGCGAGGGGCCTTTTGGATCCCTCTTGGGATCTTCGGGGGGATCTCATGAAGGCATATTGGGGAGCATCTTGCTGGCACTCAGGGGAACCTCATGGGGGCCTGTTGGGGGCCTCTTGGGGGCCTCTTGTGAGCCTCTTGGAGGTCTTTGAGCTTCTTAAGGGCTTCTTGGCAGATTTTTGGAGCCTCTGGGGGCCTCTTGGGGGCTTCTTGGGGGCCCGCTGGCGGGCTCGGGGGCGATCTTGGGGGACAGAGCTAGAACTGTCAGTCCGTTTGCCTCTTTGGCCATTCGCCTCCAGTACCGCCTCTAGCGCGCTCCGCTCGCCAGGGAGGGGGGGCCAGCGTACCTCCATGAAATCTGCGCGGGCCTCCGAAAATTAATGTTTGTGCACGCTTTGGTTTCTGTAGGTACTCCGCTCCTTTTCCTGCTGCTGCGTGGTGAGATTGGCCACCAGTTTGGTGGTCCTGGGTTGAGGCTGGGTGAAGCCTCCTTGGGGCTGCCTGGGCAAGTCTAGGTGCCCTGCTGGAGCCCTCTTGGGGCGGTCTCGGTGGTCCGCCTTTGGCAGTTCTCTGGCACTTTTGGGATCCTCTTGGCGGCTTCCCGGAGCTCTCTGGCATCGTCTGAGGCTCTGAAACCTTACCGATGCCATCTCTGGCAGCAGAACATGGGGGCCTGCAGACTTTTTGAGGTTCCAGGCGCCCCAGGGCCATGCTGGATGACTCTTCGGAAGCTTCTTGGGAGTTGAGAGGGTCTTTCGGCCATCTTGGGGCTCTTGGAGCATCTTGTCGCCGTCTTGCAGCTGGCGCTGCGTGATTTTAAGCCATCTGTATATCATTGGCAACTTTGGCCGCATGGGTCTTCGCACAGCGCCAGGGTCCCTCTTGCTCCCGCTTCCTCTTTCTCCTTGTGCGCCGGCTGGCCATTTGACTCGTGCCAGCGCCGTGATTCTAACACGTCAGGCGTAGAACTCTTCGATGGCTGCTTGTCATGTTGCCGTGTTGATGAGCCGTTGCGCCGTCCTTGAGCAGTCTGATGATGTGTCCGGGAAGAGCGGTGGGGAGCCGAAGGTAGGATGGCTGGCTTCAACATGGATCTGTCCTCGAGCGGGAAACGCCTTTGGACAAATACAGAAAGCCTGCGGGCGTTCTCGCATGCCCCAGCCTGCCGTTGGCACGGCGGCAGATCTCACAATCACATTCTGGAAATCCTGCTCCGCGCAGCACGGGGACAGGAGGAGGCAAGGGAAGCGAAGACAGGACAGGGACGGGTGGCTGGGGAAATGAAAGAGGAAGCACAGCAGGGGGGCAGTGGCAGGGATGGGTGACGGCAGGGTTCAGGATCTGGGAAGGAGAGACGAGAGCCAGGCAGGATGGGATGCAGCAGAGGAGGGGCGGGGAGGGTACCTGGAGGGGAAGCACGATCTTGGAATCCTCCTCCTCCTCCTCCTCCTCCTCCTCCTCCTCCTCCTCCTCCTCCAGGCCTGTACTGGTTCATCTCGCCCTACCTGAACTGGTACTGGCTGAGCTCCAAGGAGGCAGGCGGTCGAGCCCTGGAGGCCCCGCATGCTTTTTCCTCTCCTGCCCTCGCGGCTGCTGCTGCCGCCCCTGCTTTTTGTTTGTTTGTTGCTCCTCCCGGCCCTCGCACTCCTCCGCCGACGCCAGCTGCTGCTGCTGATCGTCCTCCCGCTCAGCTCAGCTGCTGTTCTGGCTCGCGCCCGTTCGAGGCGCCGCCTGGGGCAGGCAGTTGCGACGTGCGGACTCGTGCCCCACACCCATGGCTCCCGGAGTGCCTGCACGGGGCCAACGAGGCTTCATGATAGCTCCACCGGCCCCACCTTCGCCTCGTCATTCCCACTGGTCCCCCTTGCAGTATTGCTAATGCTCTTCCTTCTCCCTTCTTCTCTGTCCTCCAACTCCGCCTCCAACCCAATTGCATTCAAGTCAAGTTTGGTGCAATCACTTGTTGAAGAGTCGCATCCGTGCTGCCAATTGCACACGCACACGCGCACACACACACACACACTTCTGCGAACAGTCAGATCCGTCACCTGATGCATCATCAACCTTAGTACAGTCGTCCGTTGGAACAGTTTCATTGTAGGCGTCTTTGGCTTAGACACCCTTGTTGCAGGCACATTGATGTCACTACTGAAGCAGTTGCTCCTGACACAGCCAATTTGCAGTCGCCTTTCTGCATGCCTACCTCGGAGGGTCGTCCCCTTGTCGCCACTATCAATGCATGCTTTGTTGGTGCAACAGCGTTGTGGCTATTGGCTCAGCTGCCGCACTAACCTCCGCTAGACCCACATTCTGGACAGTGTCGTTTGGCTCGTGCGCGTTCCCACCACATTAGGAGCAATCACCTTGAGAGCGGCACCCTGCAACAGCCTCTCTCTTGGCGAGGCCTCCTATTGTCGCCTCTGGTGCATCATTCGGCGCAATTGCCGTGCAAGCACTATTGGCAAACTTGTATTTGGCGCTATCCCGCTCCTCTCCCCTTCCGCCCTCGCGGCCCCCCTCGCCCCCCGCAGGCGCACGTGGGGAAGACCTCGTGGCAGTTCCCGCGCGCCCCTCCCCCCCTGGGAGGCCAGGGCCTTCGGCCCCAGGGCCGGCCTGGCCCGACCGCCGTCGCCGCCGCCGCCGCCGCCGCCGCTGTCGCCGCGGTCGCCTTCGCCGCCGCCGCCGTCGCCGTCGCCGCCGTCGTCGCCGTCGTCGCCGTCGTGGCGGTCGTCGCTCTCGTCGCCGTCGTAGCTATCGTTGCCGCCGCCGCCGCCGTCGTTGCCGCCGCCGCCGTTGCCTCCTTGTCCCTCTCTCTCTCTCCAGCTCTCGGCGTGGCGGCTCCCGGCATCGGGGCCGCCGCCCCTGCAGCGGGGGGGGGGCGGGGCGGCGGCGGCCGGCGTCGCCCCTGCCCCCGGAGGGAGGGCGAGGAGGGTCGGGCCGCGCATCTGCGGCGACCCTTGCGAGCCCTGTGGGTCGAAGCGGCGCCTGGGGGTGGGCTTGGGGTGCGGAGGGCACGTCGAGTATCAGCCACGCGCCGAGGGGGGTAGGGGGAGGGGGGAGGGCTTCTTAGAAGGACCCCTGCTTCTTAGAAGGTGCGGGCCCAATCTACAAATTGTAAGTAAGGCCGGCGCCTTCTAAGAAGCAGCCTCCTTCTAAGAAGCCCTCCCCCCTCCCTCCACCCCCTTGTGCGCGCCGCCAAACATATCCGCAGATGACTTGTATGCACCGTGCCTCGTTGGCGTCTCCAGAGGCGTCGTCGATCTTCGACCCAGGAATGGTACGGTGCACAGTTTCTCGGCCATCAGCGCCGACAACCCATGCACCGTACCGCGTTGGATCGGGGCTTGAGGGGTTTCCCAAACATGGTCAGTTGCATGGGCCTATTCTTGCATAAAAGAAGGCAGCTTGCCAGCAGGTGCCCCGCGGAGCTGCTTATCTTCCGATGGCCCGGGGGGCCCACAGAAGCCCTGGGACACCTTGGGGAGCTCAAAGGTTGACTCGACGACGAGCACGTTGTTACGGGTCCCAGCGCCGATCCGATGAGTCCGCACGAGCCTCCGAATGTATGCTTGTGCATTCAGTTGTCCCCCTGATGTAGGTGGTCCAGTGATGCAAGACCTTGGCATCTGCATCAGATGCTCGTTTTGGCGACCTCCCTGGGGCCAACCTAACAGATATGTTCGACTCAAGTTGGACTCGAGCTCTTCTCAGGCGCGACTCAAGTTTGACTCAAATCGCCGGACGTTCGACGCAGCATCGACGCACGAGTGGAGCGAGTGGTTCCAGCAAGGTTCCCAGAACGAGCATTCAATCTGCAGGGGGAGGGCTTGCGCGAGGTGCCCAGATCTGTGCGGATGGCGCTCCAGGAGGAGGAGGAGGAGGAGGAGGAGGAGGAGGAGGAGGAGGAGGAGGAAGAGGAGAAGGAGGAGGAGGAGGAGGAGGACGATGAGGAACAGGAGGAGGAGGAGGAGGAGGAGGAGGAGGAGGAGGAGGAGGAGGAGGAGGAGGGTTCTCTCCCCCCTCCCCCTCCTCCCTCTCCTCTCCTCCACCCCCTCCCCGCTCGTCCCCGCGTCTCTCCCCCCCAATCTCCAGGTTCGAGCCCGGGCAGCTGGTGGCCCCCGCCGGGAAGGCCCCGGAGGTCTCGCTGTCCGTGGTGGTGCCTGCCTTTAACGAGGAGAGCCGGCTACCGCAGATGCTCGACGAGGCCTCCCTTCGGCTCGCGGCGAGGGTAGCGAAGAGGCTCTGGGGAGGATATGACTCGACGTCGAAGACATGGCCTTCCTCCCATCCAGGAGTTTTTCGTAGATTTCGGCTTTCGGGCCCAATTCCAGGCCTCGGGGCCATCAATCGGCAGGCCTCGGGGCCATCAAACAGGTCCCGGGGAAGTGGTCGGGGCTTTGGGGCCGCGCATTGAAAAAATCAGATCGTCGGATGTCTGGGGAGTTCCCCGTTTCCTCCGTGAGTGTCTGAGCGTGAGCGAGTTTGAGCGTGAGCAGGACCGAGCGTGAGCGGGTCCGAGTGAGAGCGCTGCTTTCTGCGGACCTCGGCTGCTCCCAGCTGCTTTCTGCTGCTTTCTGCTGCTCTCTGCTGCTCGCCGCATCTCTCTGCTGTTATCTGCTTGACTCCTAATATCTATCCTCCTCATCCCCTTCTTTTTCTTCCTCCTCACCCTCCTTCTCCTCCTCCTCCTCACCCTCCCCCGCCTCTCTACCTTTCCTTCTCCTCCTCCTCCTCCTTTTCCTCCTTTTCCTGTCCTAGTCTGCTGTCGTCATAATTTGGCTGTGGAGAGGGACGCGTTTAAACGTCCAACTTGGCGCGAACAGGCCCATGGAACGCCCCTGGTCGACCCCCGCTTGGGACGCTCAAGTGCCATGCCTGCCGCATCGCGATGATCCTGGAGCTCTGACAGCACACGCGTCTTCTCCGCCCAAGGCGGCCATTCTACTTAAGATATTCCGAAACATTTGGGCGCGCACGGGCCCGCGGACCACGAAATGCCGTCGGACACGTTTCTTAGTGTGGTCGCTTCACAAGACTTGCTAATGAAGCGATACAGGCCAACCAAGTGCACATAAACTCGATGAGACTCGTAAGCGATCATGTTAGCCAGCGTGGACCCTAAACAGTGCATACTTGCACTGTGGAGGTTGAAGCTATGTGGCGAAAGCTATGCGGTGTAAGCTGTGCGGCGTACACTGTGCCGCGTAAGCCAGGCGGTGTGCACTGGAGGTGGATGCTGTGAGGTGTAAGCTGTGTGACCTAAGCTACGTGGTTCAAGGGAGGAAGAACCACCCAGACCGGACACTTGGCGTTTACCAAACGGCCCTGGGCGTTTACGAAACAGCCCTGCCCTGTTTGATTCCTTCTTTGGGTGCGTTTGCTGAACGGCTTCGCGTGCCGGGGTGCTCCTTCTCGGGGTGGATGTTCTGCCCTTTGGCGGTGGTGTACGGTAGGTTCGCGTCGTGTCGACTCGTCGCGACCCCGCCGCGGGCGTTCAAGGTATAACGCCGCCAGTGGCCCAGAATCGGCCTAGTATGGAACGATATGGCAATCGATACGCCGCCGATCGTTCAAGGTGGAACGATCCACGAGATGTCAGAAACCAACGCTGGGGTCGTCACGGCGCAAACCCGCCGTAAGCCGTGTGGTGAAGGCTGTGTGGTGAAAGCTGGGTCGTGCCAGGCGAGGGCACGCGGCGCCCCCGAGGCGCCCACGAGGCGGCCACGAGGCGGCCACTCGGCGCAACCTCGGGAGACCCACCCAGCGCACGGGGTGCCTGCGGGGCGCCATGGAGGCGGTACGGGCCGCCACGTGGCGAAAAGCCAACATGCCCAACCGCTTGGTTCAGCACGCTATGCAAGAACCTTAAGTGCAAGCACTGCTTGGGGATCTATTCAGATGCTTCCAGATTCTCTGCGTGAATCCTGAATCAAGGGACCCGTACTACGTACTACGGGAACCCTCACATCAGTAGTACTCACTGAAGGAGTCCTGACTGACAACATCCTTACTGAAGCAATCTTTACTCGCTGATCACAAGGTGTTTTTTTCCATGGGTGAGGGCCGCAGGAAGCCCGAGGTGCTCCCGTGGCCATACCTGGGCGTCCCCGTAGAAGATTGCAGTGTATCGGTGCCTTCAGATGGCGGCGTTCGTACAGGATCGTGCTCCGCAGCGGCTTGGATTGTCAGTCTAGGATAACACGGCAGCTTTGTGTCATACGCCATGGCCGGAGCATAGATGCTTCCGATCGTGACGTTCTTTACGGCGGAAGCGATAGCTCTCAATTAGTGATTAGTATGTGACCCTCTTGCGCTGTCCGAGGCTTTTCGCACGAAACGAATTCGTCAGTTTCGTAAGGTTTTCGACAAACGAATACATGGAACCACATCAATCGAGCAATGCCGAAGGCCAATAGACAAGGAGGAGGAGGATGAGGAAGAGGGTCGCCATGAGAAACGACGACGAGGATGATGATGATGATGATGATGATGATGATGATGATGATGATGATGATGATGATGATGATGATGATGACGCTGATGCTGCTGCTGCTGATGATGATGACGATGATGATGAGCAGGAGGAAGAGGAGAAGGCTGATGCTGATGCTGATGCTGCTGCTGCTGCTGATGCTGATGATGCTGGTGCAGATGATGATGATGATGCTGCTGCTGATGATGATGATGACGATGCTGATGACGATGATGATGATGATGATGACGATGATGATGCTGATGCTGATGCTGATGTGATGATGATGATGATGATGATGATGATGATTATGATGACGATGACGATGATGATGATGATGATGATGATGATGATGATGATGGATGATGATGATGATGATGACGATGATGATGATGATGATGATGATGATGATGATGATGATGATGATGATGATGATGATGATGATGATGATGATGATGATGATGATGATGATGATGATGATGATGATGATGATGATGATGATGATGATGATGATGATGATGATGATGATGACGATGATGATGATGATGATTCTGATGCTGACTATGCTGATTACGATTATGATATGCTGATTTCGCTGGAGGGCTCTGGTGATTGGCAACAGGGACCCCAAGAAAAGTCCCACACAGGGGGGACGGGGCGCCCCAGATCGCCCCGCCTGGCCGCCGCTTCGCCGGATGCCTCTGGCACAGTTTCTCCCGGAGGCGCGATCTCGCCTCCATGGCGTGGCTCTTAGTCTTGGTCTGCACGGCCGCGATCCCGCACAAAAGTCTTCGGCCAGACGTAGGAGTGTGACCTTTCGCCGGAGTGACCTGTGGTGCGGGCCAAATTCGGGAGGAAAAGAAACACACAGACACAATTAATCCTCGAGTTCCCAGAAAATGTGGGAAAACATGGGGGATGATCTTATATATGTGTGTATTTATTTGTGTGTTTTTGGGCCCCTTCACAAATGGGGTCCCTCCATCGCCGAACGCGATGTGGTGGTAGCGTCTTGCGCGCTTGTGCTTGGTTCCCCCGCGGCCCCCAAAAGGCCGCGCACGAAAGGTCACTCTTGCCCAGGGTCACTCCTGCGTGTAGCCGAAGAGTTCACTGAGGTGCTCATGGCCGTGCCCTCGCCCCTGTCCCGCATCGCCGACCCTGTTCCCCTGGACCCGCCTCTTCACCTCTGCCGCTGTGCTTTGCTGGGGTGATCGGGCGCCTCTGGCTCTTCCTAGGTCTCCCGAGGCGGCCTCGCCGCCGCGGCAGGATGGGCCCTGGAATCCTGGTCACGACGCGCTGCGGGGCCCAGGGGGCCGCGCGAGGGGGCCTCCTGGGCGCCGCGGTGGGTGTGCGGGGGGGGGGGGGGGGGGGCGCGTCGGCGGCGTGGTGCGACGGCCAACCGCTGCGGAAGAGGAAGAGGAAGAGAAATGATACGTATACGAGTCACAGTGCACGGAATGACAGCACGACGAACATAGCAAGATTAGTAATAAGACGACGAACAACTGTAATAGTAGTACGAAGTGTAAGAATGGAGGACATGCGGTGGTCAGTCATGCCAAGAGTACTCCTGCGAATGGGAGCAGCTTGATGTACAACAGCAGCGACCGTGTTAGTCATACTCGGCACACTGAGACGAGCATCGCCCCGACCGCGGAACGCGAAGATGCATCAGCTGCTTAGGCGCCCAGGTTTGGCAACCCCGCGTCCCCCGTTAAGCCGCGCACCAAAGGAGGAGGAGGAGGAGGAGGAGGAGGAGGAGGAGGAGGAGGAGGAGGAGGAGGAGGAGGAGGAGGAGGATGAGGAGGAGGAGGGGGAGGAGGGGGAGGAGGAGGAGCAGGAGGAGGAGGAGGAGGAGGTTGCCCAGGGCCCCTCTTGCAACTCGCTCGGGCGAGGCGGCGCGAGGACCGCCCGCGGGGCCACCTCTCGTGGGCCCCCCGGCCGCAGCCGTGCGCGGCCGGCGCCCCTCCGCCGGCGCGTGCGCCCTCGGCGTGCGCCCGCGGAGGCCCGCGGGCGGGCGGCGGGCGACGGGCACCCTCGGCCTCGCCTGCTCGGCGGGGCGCCTGCTTGCCCGGAGGCCCGGGGCCCCGCCCGTTTCAGCGCCCTCCGCCAGGTGCACGGGCGGGGGCCTCCGCCACAGCCGGGCGGCCGGGCTGGGCCAGCGTGGTGCGCGGGCTGCTGTGTGCGCGCGGGAAAAAAAGGTGTGTGTGTGTGTGTGTGCTTGTGTATGTCTCTCTCGCTCTCTCTCTCTCTCTTTCTCTCTCTCCCGGCCACGCGAAGAGGGGCGGAGGGGGGAGGGGGGAAGGCTTCGCAAGGCCACCCCTGCTTCCCAGCAGCACCCCTGCTCCTTGGAGGGCGCTGGCCTTGCCCGTAGGTGCAGGGCCGCCGGTGCCTTGTAAGAACAGCCTCCTTATAAGAAGCCTGCCCCCCTCCCCCTACCCCCTGGCGCGCGCGCTGCCAACTCTCTTTCTCTCTCTCTCTCTTTGTTTTTTTTTTGTTTGTTCTCTCTCTCTCTCTCTTTTCTTAGGTTTTTGCTAGTGTTATGCAGCCAGTTGGGCTTATGAGAGGGTGCCACTCGCTGGAGTGGCTGAGGAGCGCCCAGTGCTGCGTGCTGGAACCCACCCCTCTCGCGTTCCGCATCGTCTGTGCCACACCCTGCCCCTCGCCCCATCACAGAGGCGCTCGGCTACCTCGACTCGCGCGTGGCGGCGGGCTCCGGCGGCTTCTCCTACGAGGCCCCGCCCGCCCAGCGCGGAGACACGGGGGCCCTCCAGGCGACGTCGGCGGCCTGGGCGCCGTCGGCTCGGAGGTCCTTTTGGGGCGCTGCTGGACGCTCTCGTCGCCACGGCCAGGCACACCTCGAGAAGCCGTCCAGGATGGACCCCCGGAGGGGCCCAGGGCCAGATTTTGAGCGGACCTTGACTGCCCGCCGTGCAGACAGGGTGGTCCTGCGGGAACGGCGTCCTGAGGCTTTCTGCCCCTCGCGACTCCCCCCGGGGACCTCGTCCGGGCCCTGGGGCCCGCAAGAGTGACAGCAAGATGGCGAGGTGGTCCCGGGGAAAGCCTCGTTCGGTCCAGGATCCGCCTCTCCCTCAGGACCCTTCTCCCTCGGAGCAAGATGCGGCCGCTCCGGGCCGCCGATGCATTGGCTCTGCGGCGAGATCCAGAGCGTGGTCTTCTCCATCCCAGCGTCGCCGATGCATCGGCGATGGCGCTGCGAGCCTTTGGACCCACCCACGGCGGCTTTGGATCGGCCGCGCACGCCAGGGGGCGCGATTGGCAGGGGCAGGGGCGGGGCGCAGGAGACGGAGGGTGAAGGGGGAAAGGAGAAGAGGGGAGTGACGCCAGATCGCCTCCGATTTTCTCCGGGGGTCCAGCGCAGAAGGCCCCGGCGGACCGTCGTCGGGTGCCTTCGGCCATGGAGGGAGACGCCGAGCGGCTGGGAGGGGGCTTCCCCCAGCCGCCCCGGCGATCGTCAGAAGGCCTGGCCAGCGTGGGTGGCCCCAGCAGGACGCGAGGGGAGGACCTGCACACTTGTCGACGAGCCCGGGAGATCGGTTGGTATGCACGGCCTGCCCAGGCCCCGGAGCTGGGCCGGACCGCAGAAGCTGTACGTGCCGACGGCAGCGAGGGGAGGGGGACGGGAGAATGCGTCGCAGAGGGACCAGCTGCACACCAGCACCGATCCTGGCCAGGCTCAGCCTGGGTCCAGGTCCGGTGTCTACGTGGGCAGGGCGGCGCGCGCACAGATCTGGGGCCCAGGACCAGCCTGGCCAGGGTCGGTGCCTGCTCACAGTTGGTGCCCTCGCCACAAGGGGAGCGGGCGGAGACCGCACCCCCGCACCTTGCGCCCGGGGCGGCGGCACCGGGGCAGCTCAGCGCGGTGTTTGAGGGCGTGGCGTCCGCTGCCGCCCGCAGGCGCGCGGACGCAGCCGCACCCCGCGCTTCGAGGTCTGGGGCCCCACACGCCCCAAGAGGCCCCCCAGATTGCCCCAAGGGCCCCCAAGACGGTGCCAGAGACCCCCTAGACGGCCCAGGAGGGCGCCGAGACCAAGACGGCCCCAAGAGGCCCCCAAGACGGCCCCATAGAGCTCCCAGAGGACCCGAGGAGGGAGGGAGGGAGGGAGGAGGGATGGAGGGAGGGAGGAGGGAGGGTAGGTGTAGGTGTAGGTGTAGGTGTAGGTGTAGGTGTGTAGGTGTAGGTGTAGGTGTAGGTGTAGGTGTAGGTGTAGGTGGAGGAGGAGCAGGAGGAAGAGGAGGAGGCGGAGGAGGAGGAGGAGGAGGAGGGAGGAGGAGGAGGAGGAGGAGAGGCGGAGGAGGAGGAGGAGAGGAGGAGGAGGAGGAGGAGGAGAGGAGGAGGAGGTGCAGGAGGAGGTGCAGGTGAGGAGGAGGAGGAGGAGGAGGAGGAGGGAGGAGGAGGAGGAGGAGGAGGAGAGGAGGGAGGAGGAGGAGGAGGAGGAGGCGCAATTCGTCGACTTTCCCATTGCCTGTAACAAAGAAGACTTCAGGCCCAGAGCGGTGCCCTTCTCAAGGGGGGCGTCGGCGCTACGGCGCGAGGGCAGGGGCGCTGCCGCGCCTCGCTCACTGGCCGCGGGGCGCGAGGGGCGCGAGGGGCGCGAGGTGGCCCGGGGGCGGCCCCCGCGCAGGCTCTGACTCTAGGCCTCCTGGATGGGGTCCGAGTAGATGGGGTCGGAGGATCGCGCCGCATCGTCGATGCATCGGCGATGCGGCTCGAGGCGGAGCCTGCTTTTCTCCACGTTGGCGTCGCCGATGTATCGCCGATGTCGCCGATGCATTGGTGATGCATCGGCGATGTATCGCCGATGCATCGGCGACGCGGCGCGATCCTCCGACCCCATAAACTCGGACCCCATCTAGGAGGCCTCTACTGACGGGGGGCGCTGGCCGAGGCATCGGTGGGTCTCTGCCCGTCCTTTGTGGAAGGCCGGTGCTTTTGGACTCGGCCAGCCGCAGAGGGGGGGGCAAGGGGGAATGGGGAAGGCTTCCGAGGAGCACCCCTGCTTCTCGGAATGCGCGGGCCTCGTCTGCAGATGTAGGGCCAGCGCCTTCTTAGAAGCAGCCGCCTTCCGAGAAGCCTTCCCCCCCTCCCCCTACCCTTGTGGAGGACGATCAATGGAGAGGAAGCATGCTGCCAAATAATTTCCAGATGTCTAAACCACGTGTTAAAACTGTTTTGACCATGTGAAACGCATGCTTTTAAACATTTACATGGCATTTTCCGACATTCTAACACATGTTGTATTCGATGGTAGAACTGTTGGGGTGTCTACTGTCGTGGCATCCACAACCCTCCCCCCTCGTGCGCGCCGCCGAGCTTTCGGACTCTCGGGCTCCAGCCTGCCCCAGGCGCCCTCCCGTGTGAAGGCTCGAGCGGCTTTCCCTTCCGCCTCCCGCTGCAGAGGGCGGGCGGAGGCCCCGGCCTGCTCTTTCGGCGCCCTCCCTGCGCATGGGGGTGCTCGCGGAGGAGGGTGCCCAGGAGGCTTCGGAGCCTGGAGGGCTCCCCGTCTCGTGAGGGCGGCGGTGGTGTCCCTGGCCAGGCCTCAGCTGGTGTTCCACCAGCGTGGGGGGCGGCAAGGACGGGGGTGATGACTAGGGGGGGGCGGATATCATGGCGGGGGCCATGATATTTCCCCAGATCTCATGGCGCCTCTTCTTGTTTCATTACGTCCCTGGCCCCCCCCCTGGGCCGCGCACATGCCGCTGGCCATGATTTGCGCCCCCCCCCTCTTGGACACCCCCCTCTTGGCCGCCCCCGAACCAGCCCAGACCCAGGACTCCGTGTCCAAGGGCTTCCCGTTCAATGCCCCCGCCGTGCTCCGTGCTGCCGCTCGGGCGGGCGCCTTGGGCGCGAGGGCCCAGCGCGTGTCGCCGCCTTGGCAGCCCTGGGTGCCCTCTCCCCTGTCGCCTCGTCGCTCGTTCCCCCCTCTGTGTTCGTGTCTTCGTCGTCGTCGTCGTCGTCGTCGTCGTCGTCGTCGTCGTCGTCGTCGTCGTCGTCGTCGTCTTCGTGGTCGTCGTCGTCGCGTCGTCGTCATCCGATTCGTGTGGTCTTCCACCCGCTTCTGTTCGACGATGACTGCAGCACGCTGGGGACGCCAGTGGTCGGCGGGCGCCCCCGGGGAGCGCGCCGAGGTCGGCCACGTCCTTCTTGGCCTCTCGGGAGGGGCCCCACGATGCACAGCTCGTTCGCTCCCTGCCCTCGCGCACCGCGCGGGCGCCGAAGAGTGTCTTTGTTTCCCGCGACGACCACGAGGGCCGATTGACGACGACAAGGGCCGATCGACGAGGGCCGATCGACGACGAACGACGACCGATCGACGACGACGACGACGACGACGACGACGAGGAGGAGGAGGAGGAGGAGGAGGAGGAGGAGGAGAAGGAGGAGGAGGAGGAGGAGGGTCTTTGTCCCCCCCCCGCGCGCGCACCGTGCGCACCGCCTCTCGCTGCCGCCGCTGGGGCGCCGTGGCACTCGACCCTCAGCAGGGGCCGTTGCGACCTGGTCGATCCGATGCGATGTCGGCCCCAGTCGGCTCGATCTGGTGTGGCTGCAGTATTCCGACGGTCCGATGCGGGTGGCGATGCGGCTCGATGCTCGCATGGCGTTGTTGTGCATCCTGGTGCGGCCGATCCCATTCGATTCCAACCCCGTGCCGATGCGGCGCGAGATGGCGCACAATCCGATTCGATTCGATGTCGCGATTCGTTGCTAATTGCTTCTGCTCTCAGGGCCCAGGGACCCATGTCTTTTGCAAGTTTCAGCTGGAAGGGGCGGAGAGGATGGAGAATGCCTCGGCCCTCGGCTGCAGTGTTTGCGGGGTCCTGAGTTGGCGGCGAGCCCGGTGGGGGGGAAGAAGCGAGAAGGGGCGGGGCCTTCTCAGAAGGCTCGGAAGTCCCCCAGCCCTCTGCGACATTTTTTTCGGAGCCTTCCCCGAAGACACGAGAAACCCCTCAGAAGGCGGGAGGGCTTCTGAGAAGCCCCGCCGCCCTCCGAGCAGGCCTTCTCCTTCCCACTTCCCTCCCTCGCTCGCCGCCGACCGAGACCCACTGGGCAGCGCCGCGCGCGCAGGTGCTCGTGGTGGACGACGGCAGCTCCGACGACACCTTCGCCGCCGCGCTCGGCTCGCGCGCCCGCGGGTGCCGCGGCGAGGCCCGGCGGGCGCCCTCTCTCCGCGGCCGCAGGGCGGCGGCGCCGCCGCCGTCGCCGCCGCGGCCGCCGCCGCGGCCGCTGCCGCGGCCACCGTGGCGGCCGCCGTCGCTCCCCCCCTCTCCCTGCCAAGCCCTCCGGCCTTCTGAGGGGCTGTCTGCGTCTTCGGGGGAGGCTTCGGGGGAATTTCCCAGGAGGCCGGAGGACTTCCGAGCCTGCTGGGAGGGCCCGCCCCCCCTCCCACTTCCCCCCCGCGCTCGCCGCCAATGCCCTCTCTCCCCGCTCCTCTCTCCCAGAGCTCTTGTCACGCCTCAGCCGAGGAAGTCTCCCCGACCTTGGTTGGAGTGTGACGAGCTGCCTGCCCAGCAGCAGTACCCCGCCCACAGCAGATCAGAACAGACCACCCTCCTGCCTGGACCCGCTCCGCGACCTCCCCACTGCGCTTCTCGGGGGCCCCCAACGGGTGCGGCGGCGGTGACCACTCCATGTGGCGAGTAAGTGGGGATTCGGGGTGACCGCACGGTTCTTGGACTGGGGTCGTTCTCCGAGGACGTCTCGGGCGACTGGGGCCTCCAAGGTCCCAAAACCGTGCAGTGATGGACCGTGCGGTGAGGTCTTTGGGAATTTCGAGGTCCCCGCACAGTCTGTTGCTGCACCGTGTTGGGACCCCCTGCGCTCCCCCCGTCTGGTTCCCTCGCCTCGCCTTCTCCCCGACCTCCCGTCCTTTTTTTTTTTTTTCTTCCCTCCCTGGCGCTTTTCTGAATCTCGACGCCTTGGGGCTGTTTTCGGGGGCCCCAGCCATCACAAAAAGCGGCCTGCGACGGGAAGCCAGCCCAGGGTAACGGGCAGGGATTCACGGGGAACCCGTACTGAACAAATCACGATGGCTGAGGTCCTTTGCGGAAGGAGGGAGGGAGGAAAGGAGGGAGGGAGGGAGGGAGGGAGGGAGGGAGGGAGGGAGGGATGGATGGATGGATGGATGGATGGATGGATGGACGGATGGAGGAGGAGGAGGAGGAGGAGGAGGAGGAGGAGGAGGAGGAGGACGTCGAGAGCGTCGGAGGCGAGATCGAACGGCGGCGGCTATACAGCAAGCCGTGCGACCATGAAGTGTCCCTGCGGAGGTATGGATGCGGGCCCTGCCTGGGGCGGCCGCCCAGGGCCTCACGAGAGACCAGTGCGGGGGGGCCCCCGCTGCAGGATGCTCTCTTCGAGCGCCGCTGCTCGCAGCCCGAGAGGGAGGCCCCCCCTGGCCTCCCGAGGCTGGCGAGGGGGGTCCTCCCAGGCGAGGGGAAGAGAGCGACCACCCGACGACTCGGAGACGACGAGCGGAGAGAGGGGGGCAGAGAGAGCTGCCGCCTCGAACTTCAAGAGCGCGTGGGCCGGCGGGCCAGCGGGCGGCGGCGGCGGCGGCCGCGGCGCACGCGCGCTGCCCTGCCCCGCCCTGCCCCGCCGCTCTCGTCCCCGAGCCCGAGCCCGACGGTGCCCCCGGGCCAAGGGCAGGGGGAGAAAGGGGTAGCAGGCGGAGGAGCCAAGCGAGAAGACTCGACGGGGCGAGCGAGGAAGAGAAGGAGGAGGGGGGGGGAGAGGGGAGAGGCCCCGCAGGGACAGCGCGGCAGCGAGCGATGGGGGACGGGGACCGACCGCAGACGTGACCCGACAGGGCGGAAGAACACATGGCAGCGCAGGACGCAAAGGCACAGGGCCCGCCGTCTGGTTTTTGTTCCGCGACTTTGGCCCCCCGAGCCATCGACCCCGTCCGTCTCCCAGACCCTTGGCTACTCAGAACCTATCGCCTACCGCGTTCGAAGAATTTTTCTTGTTCTTGTTGCCATTCTCGGTCACCAGATGCCCTGTACCAGCCCCTTGGGGTTGTCAAACAACAATTCAGGATGCGACACCTGGTGCTTGAGATGGCGTCGAGAACTTTTGGAGCTCACGGATTGAAACTCAACTCGGCGCGACCTCAATTTCGAGAGTTCTTCCTAAGTAAGCAACTAAACAGCGAAGGCTTTGCTTTGCATTGCGTTGCTTTGTTTGGCATTGCTTTGCATTGATTTGGATTGCTTGGCGTTGCCTGGCGTTGCTTGGCATTGTTTTGCATTGCATTACATTACTTTGCGTTGCTTGACATTGCCTTGATGTGTTTTAGGTTGTTTGGTTATTTGGCATCGATTTGCGTTATTTTGCATCGTATTGCTTGCCATTCACTGCCTGGCATTGCATGGCATTTTGGCTTTGCTTGGCGTTGCTTGGCGTTGCTTGGCGTTGCTTGGCATGGCTTGGCCTTGCATGGCGTTGCATGGCGTTGCTTGGCGCTGCTTGGCGTTGCTTGGTATTGCTTGGCGTTGCTTCGCGTTGCTTGGCATGGCTTGGCGTTGCCTTGCATTGCTTGGCGTTGCTCGGATTGCTTGGGTTTGCCTGGCGTTGCTTGGCGTTGCTTCTCATTGCTTGGCGTTGCCTGGCGTTCCTCGGTATTGCTTGGCGTTGCTTCGCGTTGCTTGGCGTCGCTTGTCATCGCTAGGAAACAGGGCCAATGCACCCAGGGAAGGCCTCTTCGAACACAGCAAGGAAATCAGACAAAGGAACCCAGGGAAGCCCTCGTCAAGCACAGTAACAAGCTAACACCCAGGAGCCCGAGGAACCCAGGACCTGGGCAAGGCCAGCCACAAACATAGCATGGCAATAATACCAAGGAGCCGAGGAACCTGGGCATCGCCGAATGGCGCATGCTGGGGACGCACCCTGTGGTCATTCCAAAGCATGTAAGAGCCCGTTAAGCACAGCCTTTTATGGGGGCCATCAATTCGCCAGAGGTTTGGGTCTCGACCATGCCTCTAGGAGTTGTTTCTCGTCGCGGGTCTTCTTTGCTGGTCCTGGGGTCCGACAGCGGCCCCAGAAACAACCGTCGTGCTCCTTTCGCGACGATCACAAGGCAGGTCTCGCCGCCCTTTCGCTGGGTGTTCCCAGAGGTGTCCCTGGTCCAAGGTGTCCCCAGGATCTCAAGGGAGGCCCCCCCGCGGCCTCCAGAGCACCTCCTCGCAAGGCCAAGAGGGCCCCTGCGGGTTGCCAAAGGATGGCGCACGAAGCGGGGGGCATCTTTGGCCACGACTGCTCCTGGCCGCCTCGGGCTCTGCCCGCTTGCTCCCTTCGGATGTCTCCCAAGTGGCGTTCGAGCAGATGGTGTCGTAGGATCGCGCCGCATCGGCGATGCATCGGCGTCGTTTGCATGGAGAAATTCTCGCCATAAGGGGAAAAACTGGGTCCTGAGGGAAAGAGGTCATGAGGTTTTTTCGCCCGTCGTCGGGCCCTCGGGGCCCTCCACGGGCCCGGGACTGTCAGAAAACGATTCAGGATGAAGACCTCGCCCTGGGGAAGGCCCCGGGGGTCAGGGACCCATGTCCCACAGGACCCGCCCCCCCCCCCCATGCCAGAATTCGGGCTCCACGCCGCGCCGCCTCGCCGCGCCGCAGCTCCGCCGCCCAGGTCCGGGCCATGCGCCTGTCGCAGAACCAGGGCAAGGGGTTCGCGGTGAAGGCGGCCCCCCCCCCCCAACCTCTCCAGGGGCGGGCTCCTCCTCGCCGCTCCGCGGGGGCCCGCTCCCGGGCGCGGGTGCGGCCGCGGAGGCGGAGGGCACTCCAGCTGCCCCCGCGCGCGGACTGCACGTGTGCTCGGTCGGGGGCTCCAGTGCATCGCGTCGCGCCGCCACGTTCTGGCCCGCCGCGCCTCGGCGCGATCCGCTGGCCACCTCCGGGCCCCCCAGGCGCCGGCGCCCCCAGCTCTGTGCCGGCCCCCCGCCCCGCTCGAGCGGAGCGGCGCGCGGTCCGCCCGCCCGCCGGGCGTGGCGCGTCGCGCCGGGGCGGCCGCCGCGACGCGCCGCGCTCGTGCCGCCTGGGCGTGGCGGCGATGCCGGCGCGCGCCTGCAGCGTCGAGCGCCCTCCAGGGGCTCGCCTCCGGCCCCAGGGGCCCACGGGTCGGGGGCGACGTCGGGGGTCTGGGGTGCCAGGGCCGGCGCCGCCGACGGGGCGCTCGAGCTCGCGGCCGCACCTGTGAGCCTGAGCCAGATTTGCAGCTTCCCCGTCTGGGGCTCCTGGTCGGCATGCGCGTGCTCGGAGGGGGTGGACAGCACCGCCGAAGTGAGCCAGCAACGCTGCATGGTATTCAGGGGCAACGTTAGGGGGGATATATCGACCCCCAACCGCCCACTGATCGCCGACAGGGGCCCGGTAGCCCGCCCCGCCCAGAAACACGCGGACCCGCCATCGGGGGCCCATTGCCGATCCATCGGCGATGTATCGCCGATTCCAATTCGATGTTTGCCCCCCTGAGCCAGTTCCCCCTTGTCGTTGCCCCCCAGCAGAAGAGGACCCAAGGCGCCAGGCCCTCAAGGCCGACGGCTCCTGGGGACCGTCGAGAGCGGAGGTCGTTGCCGATTGGACGGTTGACGCGGTTCACGTCGTCAAGGCAGGAACCTGCCGTACACGGACGCGCCCTTGGCGGACCTGTGCTTGCTACCGCGGATATGTCGCCGCCCCGCTTGTTCCGACGGGCGGTCTTTGTCTTGGGGAGGGCGCCGCGGCCACCAGGGCAAACTCTGCGTCGGAAGCAGGGCTTGCCGTGGGGTTTGCCGCGGTGCCGGCGTCGTCTACTCAAGGCGCTGGGCCCAGGGCTTCCCGTAGGTTTGTCATGGTGTTGGCGTTATTCACTTGGGTGCGTCGAGGGCAAGTGGTGCGACGACATATGCGTACACAAGGTCGTACGCAGATTTCAACACCTACCCGCTAACTCGAGCCCGGGCAACGGCAGAGTCTGCGTGTGGGATGGCTGTGCAGACAAGCACAGGGGTAGGGTGGAAGAGGGTGGGACAAACGCGCGAGACCACGCATAGTTCTTCTGTGGAGCGCCCGCAGCCATGCAACAACAACCACCACCGGCTATCGCCAATGGGTTCTTATCGCTTCGAGCGGCGCGGAGCCATAACCCAGGAGATGCCGAACGCACGGGAAGGAGGTTGCTGTTCCAAACGCGTACAACACCAGTCGCTGTACAGTGCGACATGACATGTGCATGTGCGACCAACATGCAACGTTGTCAACATGTCAGCCCATGGCTGCACATGCCTGTATTGACGCACGCGATCACACACATCTGCTCGCGCGCGCATGCACGCAACGAGCTGCGCAAACTTCAAGCAACAAGCACATAAGCACACTTTCGACGTCGCGCGTGGGTCTACACATGTACGTTCGACTGCGCGTGTAGAGGCAATGGTCGCATGTACAGAAGCAGTGGAATCAGTATGCACGAGGGTTCACCTAGAACAGGCGCCTAGGCTAGGTTGTAACATGAGGGTGGTGAAGTACCTGCCACAGTACGCAGTCCCAAAGCAATGCCTTTCTGAGCAATCGTTCCGCCGAAGCACTGGCATAGCCACGCAGGGATGATCTTGTGTTTTTTCCACGTGTATACGGCGCGCGTTTATTGTGAGCGGTAGCCCCGCTGGATTTCGGGGGCCTTTGGCTGCCTCTTGCGCCTCCCTCGCTCCTTCTTTTGCCTTCCCTCTCCCGTCCTCCTGGGGATCGAGGATGAGGCTTAGGTTTGTGTTCGTCGTGCGGAACATTCTGTGGCTCGCAACGGCGCAGGGGGTAAAGAGGCGCTCGCGCGGCGACTCGGTGTCGTCGTCGTCGTCGTCGTCGTCGTCGTCGTCGTCGTCGTTGTCGTCGTTCATCCTCCTCTCGCTCCCTGCTGCCTGCCGATTGCTCACGGTAGTTATCTTATCGGCCAGCCGAAGCAGCGCAAGCGCTGCTACTGGCGCAAAGCGCCTTGTTCAGATGCAGGTGAACTAGAAACGCGCCTCGGAGATTTATTTCCGACGAATCCTTTGGTTCGGAGTCGTCGAGACCAGCAGCTGCGAAATCGCAGCCAATAGGGTGCGGACAATTCGCGCCAATTGGCCGTGCCTCGGGTAAGGGTCAACATATCTCCCCTTGCCCCCGTCATGGGGATATTGCGGCGGGGAGACCAGACGCTACTGCGGCAGGGGGAACTGGCGCTGTTGCGGCGGGGGGGGGCCTGCCGCTGTTGCGGCGGGGAGACCGGACGCGGGCACGGCCGGATTCCGCATGGGATCGGAAGAGAGAAGGCTTGCCCCGTACCCAGCTATCGCTAAGCAGGGTACGGCGCTCCGTTAGCGAAGGCACCCGAGAGTCCCAGGGCACCCTTTCTATTCGACCAGGTGCAACCAGTATCGTCACGACTGGTCGAGCAACGACTGTCTAGACAACAGGCGGGGGTGCGAGGATGGTCCAGAGTAGCCGCCGTTGGGAAAACAATGTCGGTTTCAACGGCCGATCTGCTCCAGACGCTGAGCCAGCAAATGGCTGACATGCAACAGCAGGCTGTGGACATTCAAGCTCGGGAAATACTGGGTAATCTGGCTGCTGCTACCACGCAATCGCGCCAAGATGACCGGCGAGCAAGTGAACAGGGAGTCAACGAGCGAACCCGTACCATTGAGAACGCTGTGCAACGATATGTTACATTCGAGCCTAGGGTTCTCATGTTAGAGAATCGCAGCAGCAAGTTACTAGTAAGTCATTGACATGGTCATGCTGCCACTGCGTAGGATCAGATTTGACGCGAAACCAATGAGAGCATGCCCATCATCCAGGAAATTATATAAACCATCGCCTTCCTCCAGGGCAGACAAGACAGAGCGGATGGACAGCGTTTCACCGACGGCGATGTGATATCGGTGCAGGAGACTCTTCTCCTAGAGCTCCGAAATCAGGTTCAGTCCCTCTCGGACAGGGCGGGAGGGTATGCAAGGGTTCGCGCTAAATGGAGTGGCCAGGCTCGCAAGGACTGCGACCTCCTCGCTGCAGACGCTGATCGGATCCGCCATGGGGCTGTTGTTCGTATTTGTCGTATAAGCAAGGGTGAGTAATCCTTCACGCGCGGTGAATGAGCACCACCAGGAAACCACCATACGGCTGGCGGCCACGGCCCGACAGCCATCCCCAGCCACGCGGCATGTCATCCCAGTAGGGCGGACGCTCACTGGGCAGCAAGATAGCCCATCCCCACAAGCGGCCAGGGAATTGGCCGACTGGAGATTCGCGGGTGATACTCGCCAACCAATTGAGGAGGCGTTGCCTGATGTTGCGTCGGGGAGACCTGATGCTGTTGCGTCGGCGAAGGCCGATGCTGCTGCGTCGGGGAGACCTGATGCGGCTGTAGCGGGGAAGCGTGACGCTTGCCATGCTGCAGCGCCTCAGGATGAGTAAGCCTTGAGCGTTCCGCCACCGCCGCTGCTGCATCCTGAATGGAGGCCATCACTGCAACCGCGAGAATCACCGATCACGACAAACCAGTCATGCAAGAACCTTGGTCTCAGTCACCAGAGGGCTGGCGTAATGCCCCAGATGTTCCGCGGTCGTCCGAGATCGAAAGAGTTGGTACCGGCGTGGATTCATCGAACGACTGTCAGACGGCTGCAGAGGAGGTCGTTGAGGTGCTAATTATTAAAGGTATGAGCTGCAAAGAGGCATAACGCTTCAATCGCTGTTGCTGCTGTCTGGAAGCTTATCGAGGGATGGGGGTCTATATTTCGCCGCGAAAGGCTAGGACTTATCTGGTCCATCTACGCTGGCTTCTGTAAAAGCGGCAGGTAAGACATCGGACCTTCAGGAAGGATGGGGCAGCATTGCAGATGCTGGTATTCGCTTCGGCCGTCCTGAGCCCCCCGGACATTTCCTTGGATGTGGTTTTAGAGAGATAGATCAAGGTAACGCAGGGGGCGGGGCGCTTTAGAGCGTCTTGAACACATTCAACAAGTTATCACCCCCCAGGAAGTGCACGACTCCTAGCATGGAGAGGCGAAGGCTAGTGCGCCCCCCCCACCGCGACTAAAGACGCTAAGACTTCACCAAATACCCTCCGCAACTCGCAACGATCTCGGGGGGCGAAGCCTACCTCCCCTTTAAAGGTTGTCGCTGCGGTGTGCTGGCCTTTGCCGATCAGCGCGTGGACCGATGCCTGGAGTGTGCCAACATACCAGTCACAGCCTTTATCAAGTCGCCTACGCGTGGGCTTGCAGACGACAGTTTCAAGGCCGAGTATTTCGAAGCGTCAGGGATATCAGCTGCGTCCGCTGCGAGTGTTTTGATGGGGATACTTTACCTCGCGCGATGCTCTCCATTCGACATCTTCTATTCCGTGTGCATGCTGGCAAGACACGTGCTAAAACGGAATGGAGTGCGCGACCGACGGTGGCCCTGATTCATACCTTACATCCACGAGCATAGAGATTCCAACTTGGAGGGCTTCATTGGGGACGAACCCCAATCTGTAAGGCAGGACAGTGCTCTGATGCGTCTCTTGCCGACTGCTCACAGATACCTTACCTCACAGCGTCGGAGATCTCGGAATGGGCACGGGCGGACCCCCCCGCGGACCAAGACAGGCGATGCCATATCTTCTCTTATGCTCGGTTCCCAGTGGTCCCGACCCTTTGCCCGAGACTCGATCTTCTCCCCGAGGAGTTTCTCGGCGGCCCCGAGTTCCAGTAAGGGCCTCCAGACCCTGAGATCCGACGCTGCAAGACAGACGCAGCATCGCAGACAATCAACACTGCAGCTGCGGAGCCCGTTTTTACTGCAGCGTGCGGCCTTCTCCGAGCCGGATCGACCTCTGTGGCCCCCGGGGCCTGAGCCTGGGCGAAAAAAAGCGCACGCTGTGACAGAAAAGCTGCAGCGGCAGGGCTTCCGGGGAGGCCGAAAGTAGCAAAAAGCCCCCGTCCTTAGTCGCCTCGATGCGCCCGTTTTGAAACGCAGCGCGTCCCGTGTTCAAGACGTCCGTGCCAATTTGGCTCCACGCAGTGGACCACGCTCTGGCGACCGCATCGCGTCGGACCCGCGTTTTCCGCCTACGTGTTGAGCTCCGTATCAATACGCTACGTGCTGCGTCTTGCGTCCGCCCGCCCGCGCCCTGCCTCCCCAACTCGTGCTCGGCGTGGCCCGCCGAGCTCTTAAAACCGGAAGGGGCTCGCTCTCGACCCGCAGACCAAACATTGCGTGCTGCGCATCGGGGCGGCGAAGCCCCCGTCCCATGCTCTTCGCGACGCGACGGGGTCCGGGCCTCCGGCCGGCCCGCGCGGGGGCGGCGCCCGCTGCCGCGGGCCACCCCGCGGCGGCGGCGGCGGCGGGGCGCAGGGCCCCGCAGGGCACGGCGCGGGCGCGGGGGCCCGCCGCGGTGCGGCAAGCGGGGGCGGCCGCACCGACCCCGTGGCAGGCTACTCATGGTTCCTGTCTGCTTCGTCGGAGGTCCTTTGATCTCTTGGGGGGCCAAGATCCTTCCATGTCTGATTGTTCGATCCTGGGCCTCTCCTCTTCCTGGCCACTAGGGGGTGAGGAACAATCGGAAGCGAGCACAATGAGAAACGAGCACGATTAGAAATGAACGACGTGTAGGCCTCCCAGATGGGATCGGAGTGGATGTGGTCGGAGGATCGCGCCGCATGGCCGATACAGCGCCGATGCGGCTCGATGCGGACTCCGATTTTCTCCACGCCGACGTCGCCGATGCATCGCCGATGTCGACGATGCATCACCGATGCATCGCGATCCTCCGACCCCATTTACTCGGACCCCATCTGGGAGGCTTCTAAGCGAACCATCCCCTTTCGTGACGTCCCCCTCGCTTCGCCCCAAGACGTATGTGCTCGGCCGGAGGGAAGCTTGAGAGGCGAGGATGATGTCACGGAAGGGGATGGTTTGCTAGGGGTTGGTCAGGCCGCGCCCGGCAGAAACGGCGCAGCGACATCACAAGTTTTCGAGCCTCGGGGCCTCAGACCCTACGAGCCCTTGCCTATACCCAGACATCCTCGCGTCGTGGACACCTCGCGACGGGAGGTTTGTACCGTTTGAGACCTCTGGGGGCCCTTCCCAGCCCCCCGGGCCATCACAAGACGACCCGAGATCACTTGTACCTTGCACGGGATCTTAGTTGTCATGCACTGTCTTGCTGTTCTTTGAATGTCGTTGTGCCAGGCCGTCTTATATAAATGGTCGGGTGAGCCTTGGGAGATGCACGCGCAACGCCCATGTCTTCTTTCTCCTTGTCCTCCCCCTCCTCTTTGTCTTTCTTCTTCAGGTCCTGGTGGCTTTTTTGGCACGCACTGCGCGGTGTCAGCTGCGACCGCTTAAAACAAAAACAAGACGACCTGAGATGAAAAGCCGGTCCCCAGAACAAGAAGGGGTCCAGATTTCTGGGGAGACACGTTGTGAAACATCACCACGTCGGATGTCTGGGCAGGGCTGGCTTTTAGTCCCGATCTGTCTCTTCAGGGTCCTGGGACCCGGGGACGGCCCCGAGAGAGGCCCAGCACTCGGGAGAACTTGAGGCTCGGGCTCGATACTCTCGACTTTCTGGAGGTCTGGGGGGCGGCGGCGGCGACCGGTGGCGACCGAGGCTGGCATGCTCGCGGCGCGCGGCCGCCTGCTGCTGATGGCGGACGCGGACGGCGCGACGTGCTTCCGCGACCTGGAGAGGCTCGAGCAGGCGGGGCGTCGGCGACAACGTCAGGAGGTCCCAGGAAAACCTACGATAAAACATAGGCATGCACGGGAGAGGCCCCCCAGATAGCCCCAAGACCCCAACGGTTTTCGAAGGGCGCGGCCAGAATGAGCTGCGACGTAGATCCACTGCCTCCTCTTGTTTGTCACGTCAAGCCCTGAGATCCTGGGTGTCGCATTTTTCCCCGCTCCGGGCGTCTTCGCTCGGTTTCCAGGCCCTTGCACCCTCGCGGGTACATTCGGCTCGGGATATGCAGCAGAAGGATGGGGTTTGGGGTCCCAGTCGTGGTTTCTTACTGGGTGTTGTGTTGGAGACGGAGGGAGTTGAGTAGAAGGTTCTTTTCAAGTTCAGCTTGGGGAGGGAGCCTGTTGAGTATCGGGTGTTGTGTTGGAGAAGGAGGCTGTTGAGTACTGGGTGTTGTGTTGGAGACGGAGGGAGTTGAGTAGAAGGGAGCTCAACAAGTCTTCCCAAAAAGAGCGTCAAAAGTGAGTCCGAAAATCGTAGGAATCATATATAAATTCATATAAAATCGTGAGAAAGGGGGGTTCTTGGTGCAGCTTGGGGAGGGAGCCTGTTGAGTAGCGGGTGTTGTGTTGGAGAAGGAGGCTGTTGAGTACTGGGTGTTGTGTTGGAGAGGGAGGGAGTTGAGTAGAAGGTTCTTGTCAAGTTCAGCTTGGGGAGGGAGCCTGTTGAGTATCGGGTGTTGTGTTGGAGAAGGAGGCTGTTGAGTACTGGGTGTTGTGTTGGAGACGGAGGGAGTTGAGTAGAAGGTTCTTTTCAAGTTCAGCTTGGGGAGGGAGCCTGTTGAGTATCGGGTGTTGTGTTGGAGAAGGAGGCTGTTGAGTAATTGGTGTTGTGTTGGAGACGGAGGGAGTTGAGTAGAAGGGAGCTCAACAAGTCTTCCAAACAAGAGCCTCAAAAGTGAGTCCGAAAATCGTAGGAATCATATTTCAAATCATATATAATCATGAGAAAAGGGGGTTCTTGGTGGGTGCGCAGGGATATACATATATATATATATGTATGCATGTATGCATGTATGCATGTATGCATGTATGCATGTATGCATGTATGCATGTATGCAAGTATGCATGTATGCATGTATGCATGTATGCATGTATGCATGTATGCATGTATGCATGTATGCATGCATGCATGCATGCATGCATGCATGTATGCATGTATGTATGTATGTATGTATGTATGTATGTATGTATGTATGTATGTATGTATGTGTGTGTGTATGTATGTATGTATGTATGCATGGATGTATGGATGCATGGATGTATGGATGTATGGATGTATGGATGTATGGATGTATGCCGGTAGGTCGATAGGTAGGTAGGTACGTGCGTACATATATGTGTATGTATTCATAGTGAGATACATACATATATATATATATATATGTTTCGACCTTGTCTTTCTCCTTCCCTTCCTCCCGCTCATTCACACACCCTCTCCCTATACATGTTTCCAGGTGTATTTATGTATCGACATATCGCGTACATGGCACCCGTACGTGCAGACTATCTAAATGTATATATATATATATATATCGTATACATTGTCAGCCCTTCGAGTATCATAATAGCCTAGGCCTGCATCCAGGCCCCGTTCCGAACCGATCGGAACCGACTTCGATGTCCCCCTGCCGATCGAGTTAGTTCATGCTTTCCGATGTCGACGCCGAACTAGAGATAATCAGTGTCACCAGTGATGATAATAAGGATGTAGTCGTGACCTTGTGATCATGATTATGACGACGATGATGCTGCTACTGCCGATGATGATGCTGATGCTGATGCTGATGCTGATGCTGATGCTGATGCTGCTGCTGATGATGATGATGATGATGATGATGATGATGCGGATGTTGATGATGCTACTGATGATGCTGATCCTGATGTTGCTGATGATGGTGACGATGATGACGATGCTGCTGATTATGATGATGATGCTGATGATGATGACGACGATGCTGATAATGCTGATGATTGTGATGAGATGGAGGTGGCGTCCCCCTGGTTCCCCGTTCTCTCTCTTTTCCTTTCCCTCCAGGCTGCTTGAACGCGTGCGGCTAGCTTGCTAATGCGGCCTTTTCGATGACCTTGGTTCGCTGTGTGTGTGAGAGATGATGATGATGATGATGATGATGATGATGATGATGATGATGATGATGATGATGATGATGATGATGATGATGATGATGATGATGATGAGGAGGAGGCGGAGGAGGAGGAGGAGGAGGAGGAGGTGGAGGAGGAGGAGGAGGAGGAGGAGGAGGAGGAGAGGGAGGAGGAGGAGGAGGAGGAGGAGAGGGAGGTGGAGGGAGGAGGAGGAGGAGGAGGAGGAGGAGGAGGAGGAGGAGGAGGAGGAGGGAGGAGGAGGAGGAGGAGGAGGAGGAGGAGGGGAGGAGGAGGAGGAGGAGGAGGAGGAGGAGGAGGAGAGGGAGGAGGTGGAGGGAGGAGGAGGAGGGAGGAGGAGGAGGAGGAGAGGAGGAGGAGAGGAGGAGGAGGAGGAGGAGGAGAGGAAGAGGAGGAGGAGGAGGAGGGCGAGGAGGAGGAGGAGGAGGAGGAGGAGGAGGAGGAGGAGGAGCTGGAGGAGGAGGAAGAGGAGGAGGAGGATGAGGAGGAGGAGGAGGAGGAGAACGAAGAGCAGAGAGCAGTTTTCCTGCTCATTCTCTGAGTCCCCTTCACGTCCTCGGCGCCCTGGCCGTTTCTCCTCGCCCTCGGGGGGGCCCAGGCCCGGGGGCCGCCAAACGGCATGGTGACCTGCTCAGCTCGGGAGGCCTCCTCCCCGAGGCTGTGTATTCTTCTCTTCCTCAAAACTCAGCCCCCAGACCTCTCCAGGGTGCGTTTCGACCAGAAGTTCGAGAGGAGTCCAGCCGCGACGGCGAGAAGACCCCCCGGAGGGCCTGAAGAGACCCACCAAACGCTTAAAAGCCTTCCCCCAGGGGCGCCCAAACGGTGCGGTGACCACGCTGCGTGGTGAGTCAGGGGGGGTTCGGGGTCACCGCGCAGTATTGGGACTCGGGTCGTTCTCCGAGGACGTCTCGGGCGACTGTGGCCTCCAGGATCCCAGAACCGTGGTGACGAACCGCGCGGTGAGGTCGTCAGGGATTCCGATGTCACCACGCGGTCCGTCACCGCACATTCCTGGGGTCCCGAATTTTAATGTTTGCGCAGCCTTGGGGTGGCACAAGTAGGGCCTAGCTACAACAAGTATGGCACACATGCCGCACGTACGGTCGGGAGCTTTGCCTCAACATGTTGCGCCGCTTGCTCTAGCCCATCACGCTTCAGCGCGACACGCTAATGGAGGATGACGATTAATAAATGACCGGGGGTCGTGTTCACGCGGCGGCGCCTGGGATGACGATTAGAAAAAACCGGCCTCGGGCTGGAACACTATTTTTTGAATCGTTCTCCTCCAGTCAGAAATTATGCAGAAACAGCAGAAAACTATGTTTTAAATCGTTCTCTCTCATTTTTTATTAATCGTCATCCCGCACTAGGCATCAGCGTCCCGAGCCTTTTCCAGCCTCCCGCCCCGCGAAGCAGGGCGGCACGCTGTCCGCTCGCAGGGCGTAGCAGAACGCTGTGCACGAGTTCCTGACTGCAGCAGCCACAGGCAGGGCGTGAGGGTCGATAGGCGGAAGCGGGCCTTGAAACGAGGAGGGCGGGGCGGAGGAGGAGTGGCGTGGGGGGGTTCGGGCGGCGGGGAGGGAGTGAGGCCGCCATTCCCAGGGGGCGCCGCCGGCACTTCTGCCGACGACGCCCGACGGGAGTCGGCCCGCCACGAGTTCTCCGTGGCAACCTCCTCTCGTCACTTCCACCCGGGCACTGCTTCTCTCCTCGCTCCCCTTGCCCCTGCTCCTTGGACATTCGATTCTCCTGGACATGGCCGTGTCGGCGGCCGCCCTCGGCCGCGTCATCTCTTACGGCCAGCGCCTTTACGCGACCGTGTCCCCGGGGCGAGCTGTCGGTGGCGTGTGGTAGGACAGCGTACTACTCCCACTCTTCCTCACAGTGCTCCCGGGACGAGGCGATGTGCGAAGTCATCGCTGGGATTTAGGGCCGTACCAACGTGCAGCGTGACGTCCGCGCGGGCCGAGGAGGACGGACGGACTCCCTCTGAGAGGGCCACGGCTCTCTCGGCCTTTCTCACTTTCGGGTGTGCTCCCCCAAGCTGGCATGGAGCGGCATCGCCGCTCGCTCGCTCGCTTGCTCCAATCTCTCTTCAACCGTCAATTCGGCGGCGCGCCCAGGGAGGAAGGCAGAGGGGGCGGGCCTTTCAATAACAAGTGGCGGTGCTTCTCAGAAGCCCTCCCGCCTTCTGAGAAGCCATCCAAGCCTTCTCCGGAGCCGCAGAAGGCTTACCAGAAGGCGGGCGGTCTTTGGAGGAGCCCCGCCGCCTTCTGCTCCCCCTCAGCTCCCCCCCCGGTGCGCCGCCGACTGATCCGATATGCCAGCTGGCGAGGCGCATCATCCACTGAAGGTTCTGCCTGTCGCCCGCCGGTGCGCTGCAGACAATCGCGCCTCGCGCGTCGCAGCCTGGGCCAGCGAGCTGCCCGCCTCCACGAGGGGGCGGCGCGACAGTGCGAGGCTGTCAGCGCTTCGAGCTTCGCGCGGCGCGGAGCGCGGGCCCTCTCAGAGGGCTCAGGAGGCCTCCGGCCGTCCGAGAAACGTCTTGGGCCTTCCCCGAAGCCACGCGGAGGGCTTCGCGGAAGGCCCGAGGGCTTCTGAGAAGCCCCGCGGCCTTCTGAGAAGGCCTGCCCCCCTCTCGCTTCACCCCTCGGCGCGCCGCCGACCTTCGCCTTGGCCCACTCTCTCTCTCTCTCTCCCTCTCTCTTCTTGCTGCGCTCTTCTGAAATCACTGCTGGGTGCTCTTCTTGCGCACTGCGGGCCCTTCAGAATGCCAGTCAGCATTGAGTGTTCCTGAGTATAATCGCGACATGTATAGAGAGGGTTGGGTACGTCGCAGGGCAATAGTTTCATTGCTTTCATTTCTTTCAAACCATTCCGCCTACCCCCAGAAGAGGGATGAAATCAATGGGTGAGGCCTTCTGCGGCTTCTTGGGCCCCCCCTGGAGGCAGGCCTCTTGCGGGCCTCCTAGGAGTCTCTTGGGCGTCCTTCTGGGGTGGAGGGCTCGGAATGCCAGCTCGAGTTGCCTCTCTTGGGCCCCTCTTGGGGCCCTTGTTGGGGCTCTCTTGGGCTGTCTTGGGCGCCTCTTGAGCCGTCGTGGGGCCCACTTCGACCGCCTGGGGGCTCTCCTGGGGGCTTCTCGGGCCGTCTTGGAGCGACCACGGGGGCCTCTTGAGGCATCCTGGACGCGGTTGGGACACAACATGCGGACATGTTCAAATTCTACGTTTTCCAGAAAAAGGATTTGGAAGATTCTTGCTTCTTTGGCCCCTCTCGGGGGTCGTCTTGGAGCCCTCTTGGGGTGTGTTTGAGGCCTCTTGGCTTGCTTCTTTGGACCCTCTCGGGGGTCGTCTCGGAGCCCTCTTGGGGCGTCTTTGAGGCCTCTTGGGCATGAGGCTGTCTTGGTCGTCTTCCAGGACTCCTGTGCGTGTGGGAACCCTGCTTGAGCAAGCGGGCTAGATCGATTCTTAGTCATCTTGGAGGCCACAGAGTGTAGAAATGGAGGCTCTAGAGGCCCCGCGGGAGCGTTCATGAGCTCGGACGCCCCCTCCCCTCCGCTCCTTGATTCTGCGCCTGGGGTCGGAACTGTTCTTCTCGGAAGGCAGTTTCGCCGTCGAGTCGCTTTGAAAAACTCTTCAAGCTGCCTTTCGCATTGGATCCTCGTTATCCCCCCTTCCGCTTCTTGATTCTGCGCCTGGGATCGGATCTGCCCTTCGAGGGAGGGATCCGCCCTCGGCTCACTTGACGATAGTTTCCGCAAAATTTAATGAATGAGCTGAGCCTTATCACCCCCGGGCCCCCTCGCGGTCCCCCCCAGTTCCCGGGGCCCCCTCCTAGCCCCCCCCCCCCCTCTAACAGGATTTCAAGTCCCAGTGGAGAGGGAACGGGGAGTGGCACAGCCAATCATCTCACACGCCCGTGCACCCCCAGCAAGCGGGAGTCGGCGGATACGAGCATTTTCTGGCGCTGCCTGCCCAGTCTCTTCGTTCCCTGTGCTGTGCGCGCGAGGTTGTCCCCAGCTTGCGACAGATCTAGCCAGAGAGCTGGCGTCTTGATCGTCGTTCTGGCTATAGGATATTTCGGGGGCGCCTTTCGCAGATGGCCCCAGCATTTTGTGTATGTGCTCGTCCGATGGTCGATGAACATGGCCCCTGCCCCAGGCGATGGGCAAGGAGGACGGCAACGGGGCCTACCAGATCGCCTTCGGCTCCCGGCATCACCTGAAGGACCGACGGGAAGCTCACCAGGCCCAGACCTCTCAGGGCGTCGCGAAACAATTCGCGGCGGGCGCTTCTGCACTTTGGGGCTCTGGGCGCCTTTTGGGGCCCATGGGGCTGTCAGAAAACGGCCAGTGGCGAAGAGCGGGCTTGGGGCCCGAGGAGCTTATTTAAGCTAACTGGGCCCAATATGCCCATTGGAGCCCGAAGAGGCGAGACGACCACCATCTTTGTAACATGTTTCGCAGTAGTTTTGATCGGCTAGGATTCGGCACAGCCTGGACACAGATCGTGCCCCATGGGGAGGAGGATGGTGATGATGAGGTGGAGGAGGAGGAGGAATAATAGGAATAATGGTATCACTATTAGGAATAATACGTTTACTATGAATAAGAATATCAATAATAATGCTAAGTGTACGGCTAATGATACCAATAATAGTAAGGACAATATTAAGAACAATAATATTAATTTCAAGAAGAAGACGAATAATACTAATACGAAGAATGACAAACAAGAAACATACGAATGATACGAAGAGGACTAGGAGGAAAAAGAGGAAGAGGAGGAGGAGGAGGAGGTGGAGGAGGACGAGGAGGAGCAGGAGGAGGAGGAGGAGGACAAGGGGGAGGAGGATACGGAAGAGGAGGAGGATGATGATGAGGAGGAGGAGTGGACGGGGTGGAGGAGGAGGAGAAGGAGGAGGAGAAGGAGGAGAAACAATATCAATACCATCACAACGTAGAAACAATTAATATTGCAAATGCGAAGACTGCGACTACTACTAATAATAAGAAAAACGACTAAGCAGACTACTCATACCCACAATGCTACGCATACCAATCATACTAATAATGAGAACAGCAGCCATACTAATACTAGCAGTTGTAATCATAATCGTAATACCACGGATTTCAACACTATTACTACTATTAATATGGACCATAATTCGAATACTAATATGCGTATCAAGCTGAATAACGATACTACCATACAAGCATTATTATTATTAAAGGTATCTAGATTTTCCTGCTAGTATTTTAAAAACGTATTACTGTTATTTTTAGCCATACGAATAATAGTACTACTGCTAATGATTCTAAGGCTGACAATGATTATACTGACAACAGTGGTAGTACGGATAATAATCATACGAATGCTACTAATAATGATGATATTAACGATATCAGGAGGATGATGATGATGATGATGATGATGATGAGGAGGAGGAGGAGGAGGAGGAGGAGGAGGAGGAGGAGGAGGAGGAGGGGGAGGAGGAGGAGGAGGAGGAGGAGGAGGAGGAGGTGGGTGGACGCATCCCCCCGCTTCGACAGGACCAGGCGCTCGCGAAGAGGAAATTCGTCAGGAACATCCTCATGGTTAGCTTCCACTTCGTCGTGTGGCTGCTCGTTGGCGGGGCCCCCTCGTGCCTTTTCTCTGATACGCCCCCCTCCCCCCGACGCAGACAGGTGCCCTGGGTGAGCATGTTGGCACATCTCTTTCATTCGGCGGCGAGCCCAGGGGGGAAATGAGAGGGGGCATGCCTTTTTCGGGGCCTTCTCTGGAGCCACAGGCGGCTTCTCGGAGGGCGCAAGGTCTTCTGAGAAGCCCCGCCGCCTCTTCAGAAGGCCTGACCCCTCTCACTTTCCCCCTGGGCTCGCCGCCGAGTCATCTTCGAGGTTGCCCGCGGGGTGCGAAGAGATACACGCGCTTCGGGCGCCACGGCCTGGGCCAGAGCGGTTGCCCTTCCTCCGTGGGGATGGCGCGAGTGCGCGAGGGCGCGAGGGCAATCGCGCGTCGGGCGTCGAGGCTCGCGATCGATGCGCAAGATTGCGTGACCCAGGTCTTCGATGACGGGGTCGGCGCTCTGCGGGAGTGCGTCCGCTTCGGCTTGCTGATCTGGGTCCTCGGGGGTTCCGGCTGGACCTCCTCGCGCTTCCCGCGCTCTCTCCTCCAGTCGCCGCCTGCGTCGGACAGTTTGAGCATCGCTGTAACCCTTCCTCATCCCCACTGGCGTGGCCCTTGCCCCACTGGCTGATTTTGTCCCCCAGGTGGGTCATGCGCAAGTGCTGCTCCCTCCAGACTCCGCGGGGCCTGTCCCCAGGCTGCCGAGGCTGAGATCCCCAGGCTGCCCAGGCTGGAGGGGGGTATGTTACGGTCAGGAGCTTTTGCTTAGCTTGTCGCGCCGCCAGTTCTGGCCCACCAGATTTGGGCGCGACTTCCACGTCCCAGTCCCCAAGCGTCAAGTTCGCGAGCTTCTCCCGAGCCTCCCGCCTCGCGGAGCGGAGCGTGGCGCTATCAGCTCGCAGGGCCTGGCGCGTCGCCGGGGCCGCCGCCGCGACACGCTGAGCACACGTTCCCAACCGTGGATTGCACGGTGCTGGCCCTTGGCTCCCGCGCGCATGCGTCTCCAGCGCTCGGCCCCGTCCGTTGCCAGGAGCCTCGCCTGCCATCTCGTGTGCGACTGCGCCAGGGGTTCGCGTCGCGCCGACCGGCGGCGACCCTGCCGCCGGCGTTCAGCGTTGAGTCGGTCGATGTCGAGAGATCTGACGTTTCGGAAGCGGTTGGTCGCTCCAGGTGGAAAGCTCCCCGCGGTGCTTGGAATCATCGCCACAGTCGGCACGACAGGAACCTGCCGAATGTGGCGCGCTGGGGGCCCCCGCCCGCTCTCCGCCGTGTGGCCTCTGGCCGTGTACGCGTGTCTGTCTGGCCTCCCTCGGCATGAAGAAGAGGGGTCCTCGGGGGCAACCTTAGGGGGGGTAATGCCAGCTTGTGGTCGACAAATGACCAGACCCCCCCTCCCGGGGCTGATGAATAGACCCCGCGGGGCGCGAAACATTTGTTTTAATCACGCGGGCCAGGGGGTCGTCGCTGGCGCCGCCGAAGGGATCGTGTATCCCTTTGCATGACAGCATCAAAACGGTTGCCTGTCGTATGGAAGTTGCTACAGGGGTCGTACACACCCGAGACGATTTGTTTCCCCCTGTCAGGCGTCGTCGTTGTCGCCGGCGCCGCCGTCATCGTCGTCGTCGTCGTCGTCTTCTTCGTCGTCGTCGTTTTCTTCTTTGTCGTCGTCGTCGTCTTCGTCGTCGTCGTCGTCGACTACAGCGGGCCTGCGGCGCAGCACCCCCCCCATAGTGCATCCGCAATGTGTCGTCGTCGTCGCCAACGTCGCCGTCTGCCGTCCGCCGTCCGCCGTCCGTCGTCCTTGTCGTCGTCCCTTCGTCGTCGTCGTCGTCGTCGACGACGACGACGACATCTACAGAGACCACGACAGAGGGGGGAAGAGGACTGCCCGCCTTGCTCGGGTCGGACGAAAGGCTGGGGAAGGAAAGGGGGGGTTGCGAAACCTGCTGCGCGCAGCTGGTTTCGGTCGCCCCGCCGAGGGGCCAGTCCTCGATGCATGGCCGCTTTCGGCGCCAGGGGGCTTTTGGAAGATCAGAAATGTGAGCTGCTGGGCAAATCCCCTCTTGGCCACGCCCCCTTTCCGTCCAGGCCGCCTTGTTCGAGGGCCCGCGAGGCAGTTGGCGCCCCCCTGGCTGCGGCCAGGGCAAGTGCCGACAGCAGTACTTTTTCATTTCAAACAGATGTCGCCCTCGCTCACGGTCCCTGCTTCTGCCGCCTTTGCTTCCCGCCCCCCTTCCCTCCCCCAATCTGTGCTGTATGTCGCCTTCTCGTTGGCGGCCGGGCGTCGGCGGTAATCACCGGCGCCGCCCCGTTGATTTTCAATCTGGCGGGCGCCATCCCGCAACTCGCCCGAGCAGGAAAACGATAAAAAAAACGCGCGCCCCCCCATGGATTTGTTAACCACAAGCTGGCATTAGGCTCATTCGGAAGCAAGTCGTGGGAGCGTTGTATACCCTCGTATAGCGTCGATGAGCGTCTGTTAATCGATGAAGTAGCGCCGATTCATTGTCGACTAGCGTCGATCAGCGTCGATCTAGCGTCGGTTAGCGTCGATTCGCGTCGATTTGCAAGAGTCAACATAATGTTATGGGAGATTCCTATGCGTTGCCGCAAAAGGCTCAGGAGGGACTTTTCGGGGTGTGCGGTCGTTTTCTTAGGTTCGTTCCCATAGGTTTTCGCCGCTTCGGGATGCTCCCCAGCAGCTGCGCCTCTCCGAGAGGCGTCCGGTGGTGCCCGGGTCGTCGTCGCGCACTGCCGCCAGAGGCCCGAGGTATGATTGGGAAATCAGACGACGAGGATCGCTTGCTCGGGGGGGATGCTGTCAGGCACGTTTCCTTAACGCGTCGCAGCGTCAGTTTTGGCCCGCCAGGCTTCGGCGCCACCCGTGAACCACGTCCTGGTCCCCGAGCGTCCACGTCCTGAATTTCTCCCGATCCCCCCCCCAAGGATCCTTTTTCCTCGGAGCCGTTCACCTTATGGCAATGGTGAACAATGAGGCGTACAGCACAAAGAGTCGCCGTTCTCTTCCTGATCCGCCTAGCTGTTTGACCCCGCCTGTTCTTATCGACGGCGCTCTCCCTTCCTGGAGGTCCCACGTCGTGACAGCAATCACAGCGACGTGAACACATCGCGGCCATAGGCCCTCGATCCCACTAGTCCGCGTCATGATTCGAGCCGGATCGGTCCGTGCGGGTCTCTGGGCCCGATACGTAGCAAAGACCGCCCGTCGCATTTTTGCCACGACGCTTTGTCAGGATCCTCCCAACATAATCCCACTCACAATCGATCCTCGGACCCATGCAGGACACCATCCTGGCCCGTTTCCTGAGCCGCGCCTGGCTGTGGCGCCGTGGGTATCCGGCGAAGGCTTCGCCAAGAGAGGCCATAGCAGGGGAGGGGGGGAGGGACATGCCAGGTGCGTTAGTGCCATATCTGACGTCCCCTCCTATCCCTCTCGTCCCTTCCCATTGCGCTGATTTTTTCGATCCGCGGACGCGTATCATAGCTGCCTTAGAATTCCACCAACAGACCACATCGTGCTTTGCGCAATCGGAAAAGGGAAGCTGCCTACATAGCATGGTGAGCAGGAGGTGGTGGGTGAGCAGGAGGATGAGCAGAAGGAACATGAGGAGGATGAGGAAGACGAGAACGAACAGCAGCAACAGTACCTGGAGGCGAAGGATTGGGAAGAGCAGGGGGACTAGGGGAGGGGAACGTGGATGAAGGGGAAAGACGGGGGCGACGACGATGAGAAAGGATTCGGATCCAGAAAAGTGGTCCGCGCTGGGGCAAGAACGCCATTCTAATCGACGGGAGCATAGCGCCGATCCGAAAATGAAGCTCGCGCTGCAGCGGGAGCACCATTTGGAAACACCGAAAACAATCGGATCGCAACAATTATCCTTGCGAAGGACCCAACCATGTACAGTTGTGAGTGCCGCACTCGTGAATATTGCCTTAAGTGGAGTTCCCCGTGGGGCCAACAAACGTGTGAGGGATGTGTCGAACTGGGCCTGGGGTGCACGCGGGCCCTGCCACTGGGGCTTTCGGTGGAATTCCCAATGGGGCCACGGATCGTGTGAGGGGTGTGTGTGCTGCCACTGGGGTCTTCGGTGGAACTCCGTATGTTGCCACGACGCATGTGAGGGCCCTGCTCGAATGGGCTTGGGGACGCATGCGGGCGTTGCCAATGAGGCCTTCGATGAAGCTTCCGATGGGGCCGCGAAGTGTGGGAGAGGTGTCCCGAAATGAGCGCGGGGACCGCGTGCGAGCTGTGCCACTGGGGCCTTCGGTGGAGCTCCCCATGGGGCCGCGAAGCGTGGGCGGGGCTTGCCGAAAGGGGCTGAGGGACCGCATGCCCCCCCCCCCGTGGGCTTCGGTGGAGCTCCCTATGGGGTCACGTGACGTGTGAGGGGTGCGCCGACATGGGCTAGGGACGGCATGCGCCCCCCCCCCCCGCCCCTCCCCCCTCTGGGTGCTTCGGTGGAGCTCCCTGTGGGGTCGCGAAATGTGTGATGGGGTGTGTGCCGGAAAGGGGCTGGGGGACCGCATGCGCCCCGCCCCCCTTGGGCCTTCGTTGGAGCTCCCCGTGGGGTCACGAAACGTCCGAGGGGTGTGCCAAAACGGGCATGCGGACGGCTGAGGCAGGGATGGGAGGAGGGAGGAGAGGGGCAGGGAGGAGACGCGGGGCGCTGTCTCTTCCAAACGATGAGCCAACACCACAGGATGTTTGGGGAACGTCCATAAGATAAACACGCTTTTGACATCAGGTGAAACAGACAAGATGGGGGGAACCGGCCGAACATCTTCATGACAGAGTCAGGGTACCTATGATAGTAGTATCCATTACATGTACGTGTGGAGGACTCGAAGGAGGAAGAGGATGGGGGAATGAATGAGGAAGACGACGATGACGATGCTGCTGCTGCTGATGATGATGCTGATGATGCTGTTGCTGCTGATGATGATGATGGTGGCAATGTTGATGATGCTGATGATGTTGGTGATGTGGATGCTGCTGATGTTGATGATGATGATGATGATGATGATGATGATGATGCTGATGATGATGATGATGATGATGTTGCTGATGCTCATGATGATGCTGATGATGCTCATGATGCTGATGCTGATGCTGATTATATGGATGTTGGTGATGCTGCTGATGATGATGACGATGATGCTTATTATGATGACGCTGTTGCTGATGGTAGTTGTGCTGATGACGATGATACGGATGATGTCGATGATGATGATACTGAAAAAGATGCTGACGATGCTGATGATGGTGGTGGTGATGTTGATGTTGATGTTGATGACGATGACGATGACGATGATGATGATGATGATGATGATGATGATGATGATGATGATGATGATGTCGACGATGACGATGCTGATGATGCTGATGATGCTGATGATGCTGATCTTGATGATGATGATACTGCTGATACTGATTGTGCTGATGATGTTGATGCTGATGCTGATGATGACGATGATGATGAGGGTGAGGATGATGACGGTGACGGTGACGATGACGATGACGATGCTGATGACGATGGTGATGATGATGATGATGATGATGATGATGATGATGATGATGATGATGATGATGATGATGATGATGATGATGATGATGATGATGATGATGATGATAATGATGATGATGATGATGATGATGATGATGATGATGATGATGATGCTGATGCTGATGCTGATGATAATGATGATGATGATGAGGAGGTGGAGGAGGAGGACCAGTGTAAGCCCAAGAGTCATCAACGGTGTTGGAATTCACCCTCCCTCCAAGCTCCCCCTTGGTAGGCCTCTACAACGGTTCATTTCCACTGAGGGATCTGCCTCGTTGGAAGGCAACCGTTTGAAGACCTTGAAGCATGCCAGAAACTTGTTCTCGGTATTTCCACGCCACGGATCAACCTGACTGCTGCATCCTGACGATCTGGAATCGTACAGAACGCCATTTCGGGGGACATCATCGCCACGAATCAACATAACTGTTGCACCCGCATAATCCGGAGTCCTTCCGAAACGCAATTTCTGGCACGTTGATCATGGGAACTCGGGGATCTCTTGCAGTTTCTTAAAAACGAATGTGCGCGGCGCTAAGGCGAGAGAAACATTTTGAAAAGGAACCGCCTTCAACCCGTGAAACTCTTGCAAACTTGTAAAACGAATGTGCGCGGCGCTAAGGCGAGAGCCACATGTTGAAAACCACCCACTCTCAATCCGTGAAGCTCTTGCATTTTTCAAAGTAAAAAACGAATGTGCGAGGCGCTAGGGCGAGAGCCACATTTTGAAAACGACCCGCCCTCAATCCGTGAAAGTCTTGCACATGCTTGAAACGAGTGTGCGCGGCGCGAAGGCGAGAGCCACATTTTGAAAACCTCCCGCTCTCAATTCGTGAATCTCTCACAATGTTTAACCGAATGTTTTTTTTTTTTTTTTTTTTTTTTTTTTTTTTTGCAAAAAAAAATAATCATTTTTTATAGTATATGTATATGTATGCATATATATATTAGCATACAGAAAATATGGACAAATAAGCTCATTAGTCATTCACGGTGGGGGAGTCTCAGGCGAAACGCCCGGCGCGCCCTAAAAACTGGCCTCGGGGTGCGACGGGGAGAAGTTTTCATATGGAAAAGTGATGGAAGTGATGGAGGAGGAGGAGGGCGAGGACCAGGAGGAGGAGGAGGAGGAGGAGGGGGAGGAGGAGGAGGAGTGGAAGGAGGAGGCGGAGGCGGAGGCGGAGGCGGCGGCAGAGGAGGAGGAGGACGATGAGGAGGAGGAGGAGGACCAGCATAAACCCAAGGGCCATCAACGATGTTGGAATAAACCCACCCTCCAAGTTCCCTCCTCATAGTCCCTTACAACGGTTCATTTCCATTGAGGGACTGCCTCGTTGGAGGACAATTGTTTGAAGACCCCGAAGCATGCCAAAACAGTGTTCTCGGGAGTTCAACGCCACGGATCAACCTGACTATTGAGTGTTGGCGATCCTGAATCGTGCTAGATAGCCATTCCTGGGACTTTAACACAGCGAATCTACGTGACTGTTGCGCCCGCGTAATCCTGAGTCCTTTCAAAACACGGTTTCTGGTACTTTGATGACGGGAATCCGTGAAACGCTTGCAAATTTTGCGAACGAATACGCGCAGCGCTAAGGCGAGAGCCACATGTTGAAAATGAGCCGCCTTCGATCCGTGAAACTCTTTGCAATTTTTTGAAACGAATGTGCGCGGCGCTAGGGCGAGAGCCACATTTTGAAAACCACCCGCCCTCGATCCGTGAAACCCTTGCGCATTGTTGAAACGAATGTGCGCCGCGCCAAAGCGAGAGCCACATTTTGAAAACCTCCCGCCCTCAATATGTGAAGCTCTTGCACATTAAAAAACGTATGTGCGAGGCGCTAGGGCGAGAGCCACAATTTGAACACTACACGTCCTCAATCCGTAAAGCTCTTGCACATTTTCCAAAACACACGTGCGCCGCGCTAAGGCGAGAGCCACATATTGAAAACGACCCGCCCTCCATTTGTGAAACTGTTGCCAGTTTTCCAGCTTCAGAGTCATAGATGGTGAGGCAGTCTCAGGCGAGACGCCCGGCCCGCCCTAAAAACTGGCCTCGGGGTGCGGCAGGGAGAAGTTATTTAGAAGGAGGGGGAATTGAGCAGGAGGAGGAGGAGGAGGAGGAGGAGGAGGAGGAGGAGGAGGAGGAGGAGGGGGCGAGGGAGGGAGGGAGGGAGGGAGGACGAGGAGGCGTCACGATGCTGACAGGGGTCTCTCAGAGCAGCCAGAGTGCAACCACCCGGCCTGCTCGGCTCCGTCGGCCATGATCCAGGCTGCTGTGGGAGAAGCAGGGGTGCATGCCCCAGGATGTGCAGGCCCTCCCGTCTGCGGCACGCTGGGCCCCCTGCGACGCCGCGGGGCGCCGCAGTACGTCCAGGCCTTCAGGCTCAGACGACGTGACCGATGCGAGGGAGCCCCGCAGCTCTCCAGAGGGCGCCCCACGGAGCGAGGCGGCGGACCCAGGAAGAGGCCCCCTGGCCAGAAGGGCCACTCCGCCGCAGCGGGCGCGCGAGCCTCCGCCCCTCGGGGGCGCCGCGCGGGCACCCGCGGTGCCGCGGCGTGCCCAGCGGCGGAGCCCCGGGGGCCGAGGCAGGGGCCTCGGGGCTGCGTGCGCCCAGCCGTGGCCAGGAGGGCAGCTGCGCCAGCGCCAGGGGCCCGAGTCGGGGGCGGGGCTCCGCACGTGATGTGGCCGCACTCGCTGGGAGAGGCTTTTGCCCTGCGAGTGGCACTGGCGCTCCGCAGAGCTGTCGGTTGCCCCCCCCGCCTCCAGGGCGAGGAGGCCCACCCGAGCCCCGCGGTCGCGAGGGCGCCTCAGAGAGGTTCTCGGCGCAGGCCGGGTCGGGCTCGGCACCGGGGGGCCCCGAGGTCAGTCCAGATCCTGCCGTCCTCCAGAGCTTCTCCCGCTCCTGCTCACGGGTGATGATGATGATGATGATGCTGATGATGATGATGATGATGATGATGATGCTGCTGGTGATGCTGATGTTGGTGATGGTGATGCTGATGTTGGTGATGGTGATGATGATGCTGCTGATGATGATGCTGAGGATGATGGTGACTTTGATGAGGATTCTGCTGCTGATGATGAGGATGCTGAAGGCGACGCTGATGCTGATGCTGATGTTGATGTTGATGATGATGCTGATGATGCTGATGACGTTGATGGCTGCTGCTGCTGATATGCTGGGGAGATGATGATGGTGGTGGTGATGCGCTGACGATGATAACAGTGATGATGAGAATGATGAGGACGGTGCTGCTGCTCACGATGATGATGATGATGATGCGGACGATAACGACGACGACGATGACGACTAGATGATGATGATGACGATGATGATGATGATGATGATGATGCTGATGATGATGATGATGTTGATGATGATGATGATGATGATGATGGAGGTGGTGATGATGAGGAGGATGATGAGGATGCTAACGATGATGCTGCAGCTGATGCTGATGATTATGATGCTGATGATGATGATGTTGATGATGATGCTGATCATGACAATGATGATGCTGATGATGATGAGGGCGATGCTGACGACGATGACGACGATGATGATGATGATGGTGGTAATCGTGACGTTGATTGCTGCTGCTGCTGATCACGGGATGATGATGAGGATGATTTTGGTGATGATGATGATGGTTGTGGTGATAATGATGATGATGATGATGATGATGATGATGATGATGATGATTCTGATGATCACGGAATGGGTGATGATGATTTTGATGATGACAGTTTGTTGAGGTGATGGTGATGGTGGTGATGATGATGATGAGGATAATGCTGATGATGTTGTGGATGAATCTGATTTTCATGTTGAGGATGTGTATGACGATTTTATGAGTGATGATGATGATGATGATGATGATGATGATGATGATGATGATGATGATGATGATGATGATGATGATGATGCGGCTGCTGCTGATACTGCTGATGATGCTGATGCTGACGAGGTGGGAGAGGATGATGATGAGGAGGATGAGGAGGAGTATAAGGATGAGGGCGTCGCAAGAAGGCGGCACCATCGCCGACACCCAGTGCGGCTTCAAACTCTTTCGGGCAAGCACCGGGAAGCTTATCTGGACGGCTGGCGCAATTCCGGTATACCCCTGCTGGGGACGGTCGGTTGGGTTTCTTGACCTGTAGTGGCCTCTGACAGTTTTGTGTTGGCGTGCCGCCACCTGGCGTGTGCGTGCGCGTATTTACAATCAGGAGCTTTCGTGCTGCTACTTGCGACTCTCTCCTCGCTGTGGGTCTCGCATCGGCCAGCCTGAATCAGCTCGCGAATCGTGCGCAACACCAGGCCCATACCTCCGACGCTGATGTTTTAAATGCGGGGTCCCCGCAAGTCCTGATCCCTTCCAGGCTGGTTTTCTGAGGGCCCCGATGCACGAAATTGTTTTCCATAAGCCAGAATGTGAAGAACACGCCCGCATTAACACACGAGGTGCCGCCAAGAGACTGCAAACAGCATGTGGTCATGGGTTGCGACGAAGGTTGCGCCGTCCGCCGATTCGCGGATCAGCCCGCGGTTATATTTTAGAGAGGGTGCCATTGGTTGCGCCAGACCCCCTTGTGTCGTACCAAATCGCGATTGCCCCACTCCGTCTACCTTCCATATGTTGCGCCTCAGGATGCGCCAGACACCCCGCGGCCCACCGAATTGCCATCATTCCCCCCCCCTTCCCCCCTCTTTTTCGATCTTCCATAGGCTGCGCCATGGGTTGCGCCACAGGTTGGACCAGACACCCCGAGTCCAATCGAATCGCCCCAGACATTTCGCCTTCTGCCAAGTCGTGATTTACCCATTCTACCCTCCATCGGTTGCGCCACAGGTTGCGCCAGACACCCCGCGCCCTACTGAATTGTGATTCCTCTTCTCTGTCTCATTACTTTGCGTACACCCCCTGGGAAAATAATGCAACGTTTGCAGGTCGTGTCAAAGAATCGCCCGGGGGACTTCCCTGGAGGCACTTTCTCAATCCAGGTCCGTTTCTGACGGCTCCAGGTGCCCGAAAACCGCCCCTGGAGGCAGAACACGACGATGGGCCGAAGGCGGCGCAAACATAGAAATCAAGTGTCAAAGTTGCATTGCCCGCGGCGCACCGACTTGTGCGGCGTCCCCCTTCTGTCTAACCTCCATAGATTTCGCCATAGGTTCCGCCATGGGTTTCGGCAGGCACCCTGGGCCCCGCCAGACCAGACCGCGATATCCCCTCCGTCGTCGTTGTCGGCGTCGTCGAAGTCGTTGGAGACGTCGGCGGCGTCGTCGTCGTCGTTGTCGCTGTCGTCGTCGGCGTCGCTGTCATTGCCAAGTGCCATTTGGTACCCACCGTCACGGTCTTAAGAGATTTTGCAAACCAAGTTGCGGGTGGGTGGGTGGGATGATTGCGCGAGCAATGGAGTTGACAGCTTCAAGTTCGTCAAGTGATCTACCTTCCATAGGTCGTGCCATAGGTCGCGCCAGGCACTCCGCGCCAGGCGAAGTCGCCGGCTTCCCCCTCTGCCATGTGCTTCCTGTCGTTGAGGGGAGTCTTTACAGCCGTCGCTACAGGAGCGAATCACGGCGTCGGATGTTTGTGGATGTGCCAGTCGTTGCGACGCCTTCCCTCGTGTGACTTGCTCAGTGCCTGTCTACCCTCCCCACGCACTGGCTCTACCTTCAGGTCTCGGCTTTTCGCGTCGGCCTCGGATTTCCTTTGCAGGGAGGCTGTCTTGGGCGTGTCGGGCCAGCTCTCTGCTAAACATTGCCCCGTCTGCGATTACCGCAGGGGGCCATTTGGCGCGCTCTAATCAGTGCCCCGCCTTAGGCATACGTCGCCTTCGGCGGAAGCTGGCAGGAGCTGGTGGAAGTAAACTGGCGGCGGGTGAGCCGGCGGAAGCCGGAGGAGGGTCGGCGGAAGGCGGAGGAAGCAGACGTGAGACGCCAATATTTTTGGATGCATGGATTCCAGAGCGGTCCATTCGCTGTGGGGCCCGCCGCCACGAAGACCTGCTGGTATTCTCGCCAGCGCAACTGACACCAGCAATTGTCTCGCCTCTCCTTCGGTAGCTGCTGCTGCTGCTGCTGCTGCTGCTGCTGCTCCTTCTGCTCTCCCTCCCGTCTTCCTCTCTCTTTCCTCCTCCCTCTTCGTCTTCCCTCCTCCGTCCTCCTCCTGGTCCTCCTCCCTTATCCCTCCTTCCTCCTCCCTCCTCGGGAGTGGCGCTGCAGATATAGGTACTTGCTCCAGCTTTTGCACGCAGGGAGTCCGAAAAGAGGCGAAGCAGACTTTCGACATCGCCAGGGCTGCTTGGCACACGAACTTTCGATGCCCAGCCCAGTCGCAGGCCAGAACATACTTGGCAGACGATTACGTTTTTTCAGCCCACACGGGGGAGACAACAGACGCGTGTACCACTTCGTGTGCGCCTTCGTGGCTCACCCGACTGGGGACCTGACCCAGGATGTCCAACCTGCCGTTTCGTACGTCAGATCCTCCAAAGGGTCTGGACTCAGGAGTCACTGTTCCTTTCCTGGGCGATTGTGGCGTTTGGCACGCAAATGCAGTGCCTCTGGTATAGATTTCTGCTGCACCTCTGAGCTTGGGGAAGCTCACTGCTCGGCATGTGCTATCGCGCTAAGGCCATGGTGGTCAAATGCTTTCGCCGAAGCCCCGCGTGGTGCCCCTACTGGTCTGGAATCTGGCAGGTGGTGCACGGCAGTCTTCCATACACGGGACGCCTCACGGTTGTTTTTGTAAAGCAGCTCGCAGTCAATCTCCTCTGGACTCTTCAGACCCGCTGGGGCGACTTGGTACGGAAGAGTGTACCATCGCAATTCGCCAGGGTGCCGATTTAGCCCCGCTGCCAGTCGGCAACATCCGCCTACATCAGACGGAGCGGACGTCGCGATTGATAATCTCAGCCTAGTCGCGAATCCGATTCCGACAGTAGGCACTTGTCAGGAGACGACCCAGCTTCCAAATTGGGGCAGGGGGCCATGGGTTCGGGGGTCGCAGCGGCAGCGATTGCCCTTGGCCGCTCGCCCGCGCCTCGTGCTGTGGAGTGGGTCCGCCCTGTCCTGCTGTAGATGGAGGCGAAGGGCCACCATCGCACGCGAGCGGGAACTGCTCGTTGTGCAGAGGCGCAAGGGCATCCCGGTAGCCAGGCGCGCGGGCACGCTCCCTCCCGCGCCTCCCATCTCTGTGACCCGTTGTTTCGACCCTGTCCGCGGGCATGCCTCCTGGAAAGGCCCGTGCACTTGGTGGGCGCGTTGCGGGTCAAGCTTTGAGAAGACTGGCGCCCCAGTGTCACTTCGACCCACTGCCTTGGTCGCGAGTGGCTCCAGCGTGGACCCGCTGGGCCTCGGCAGAATGGAGGGCGACGTGTCGGCTAGAGGCTCAAAAGGCCAGGCCTTCGTGGAGGCATGCTAAGGGTTCTGGCATGGTGGGCCCTTGATCGAGCACTGTAGGCCCTGGACACCCAGCCGTTCTGTCCCCGCGTCGGACTAGTTCACCGATGAGTTGACCGCGTATGGCCAATGGGTCTTGGACAAGTTCGGTTCGACGCTGCGGCCTCGCAGCTGGGGGATGCCTCAAGCCCAGTACGACAAAAGCTGGTACGAAGCCTCTTGCAAGGTTGCGCGCGGCCGGCGGGATTTGTGAGAAGGTCACGGGCAAGCATGTCTCCGACTAGCGCCAGCGCCACAAGTTGGAGATCCCTGGGCGTCAGCACCGCGGGAACGCCAGAGCTTTATGCTAAGGACGGAGCATCTGCTGGGGCATTGTCCCGCATCCGCTGCAGGTCACCCACCACGCCCCCGTGACCTTCCTCACTGCGCGGCTGGAATGGGTTCCAGCGAGGCTCCAGATCTGCCACTCTGCAACGTGTGTGTGCGTGTGTGTGTGTGTGTGTGTGTGTGTGTGTGTTAGATTACCGACCGCCGCCAACCGGTGGATTGCCAATGCTGCGCTATGGCGCAGACTGGCTCCGGAGGCCGAGCAGGAATTATTGAATCGCTTCGCTCATTCCGCCGGCCCATAGTGTAGCGTCGCTGGCACTTGCTTGCGTACTCGGGGGGGCATTTGGGTGGCCTCCTGGGGCCGCTTGGGGGCCTCTTGGGGGCCTCCTGAGGGCCTGTTGGGGGCCTCTTGGGGCCTCTTAGGGGCCTCTTGGGGCCTCCTGGGGACTTCTGAGGGCCGAGGGCTCGAAATATTGTTTCGTGTTCCCCCCCTGGGGTCCCTCTTGGGGCGTTCTTGGGGCCCTCTTGGGCCGTCTTGGAGGCCTCTTGGGCCGTCTTGGAGCCCTCTTGGGCCGTCTTGGGGCCCTCTTGGGGGCCTCTTGGGCCCTCTTGGGGCGGTCTTGGGGGCCTCTTGGGCCGTCTTGGGGTGTCGTGAAGCCGAAAAGGTGGAAACGCCAAAATCTCTCCAAAACCTAAGGAAAAGCAGTGAATTTTGCCTCTTGGGGCCCTCTCGGGAGTGCTCTTGGAGGCCTCTTGGGGCGTCTGGGGGCCATCGTGGGCGTCTTGGAGCGATCTTGTGGCATCTCGGACCCCTCATGTAGCATCTTGGGGGCCTCTTGGAAGCCTCTTGGCCCTTCTTGGGGCTCTCGGGGACGTCTCGGAGCCGCGTTGGTGCGCTGCTGGAGCGCCCTGGTGACTCCTCCCGGGACTCTCTCGGGACCTTGCCGGGGTACTTTCCGCCCGGGGGCCCCCAGGGGCCGCCCCGCGCGCGCGAAGTAGAAAGATTGTAAAGCAGTCACCGGAGATCTTAGCACGCCTCTGGCCCGTTGGGCCGGCGAATTTTCTATTCTCCTCGTCCCCTCGGGGACAGGATCGACCTCTCTGACGGAGGGGCAGCACTGCAGGCCCAGCTGCATCGCTTCTTCCCGCCAGTCTTCAGATTCTCCGTGACAGGACCTGCCTCGCCGATTGGATTCTCGTGTGTGTGTGTGTGTGTGTGTGTGTGTGTGTGCGTGTGTGTGTGTGTGTGTGTGTGTGTGTGTGTGTGTGCAATGCGCTGTCTTGGTCGATGGCCACGTGGCGGGTGGCAGTGTGGCGACTGGCACGCTCCAGCTTCTCTGCGCGCTCCTGCAGCAGCGCGGGTACACCCCACTCGTGCGCACGAGGGCAGCACAACCCCCCCCCCACCCCCAGCCAGGACCCCCGGGATCACTGGGTCGGGAGTGGGGGTCCCGACTGGGGGTGGGGGTGGGCTGTGCTGCCCTCCAGGACAGAGTGGCCGCGCACCCGTGGCGTCGGCGGCCTCCTCGCGGATGTGGTGAGCCACGGCGCGGTGGCGGGCACCGCGGCGGGCACTTCGGACCGCGTGCTGCGCCCCCCGGGGCCTCGCGCGCCCTGCCACGGCCTGGACGACAGCACCGCCTCGACGGCGAGCGCCTCTCCGGTCGACGGCGGGGGGGGGAGGTGGCGCCCCGGCCCCCGCCAAGCGTAGCTGGCGCCGCCCTCTCTCGGCGGCGCGCCTGGGGGGGAGGCGAGATGGGGCAGGCCTTCTCGGATCGGGGGCGGCCGAGAGGCGGGCGGTGACTAGGGGAGGTGGACATCATGGCGGGGGCCATGAGGTCTCCCCAGATGTCATGGCGCCTCTTCTTATTTCAGTACGTCCCTGGCCCCCCCCCTCGGCCGCGCACACGCTGGCCATGATTTGCGCCCCGCCCCCTCTTGGACGCCCCCTCTTGAGAACCCCCGATCAGAAGGTGGTGGGGCTTCTCAGACGCACTTCCGCCTTCTGAGAACTTTCCTGTGACTTCAGGGAAGGCTCAGGAAACTTCTCAGAAGGCTCAAGGCCTTGCGAGCCTTCGCCCCAGTCCACTGGCAGCATACGGTAGGTTCGCGTCGTGTCGACCGGCGGCGACCCCGTCGCCTGCGTTTGACGTTGGACGCCGCCGCCGACCCGGAGTCGGTCGATGCTGAACGATCGGATGTTTCGGAAACGGCCGATCGTTCAAGCTTGAGCGATCCCCGCGGTGTCGTGAAGCAACGCTGGGGTCGGCACGAGGCGATCCTGCCGTGACTGGCGTCGCCCTCTCGCCACAGCTCTTGCCGCAGCGCGGTCACGCGCGCCTGGGGCACCCGCAGGGGCGGGAAGATGGTCGCGCGTTGCGCCTCGCTGCCGAGGCCAGAGGACTGGGGTTCCTCAGGGGGCGGCGCGAGAGCGCGAACATCACCGCGCTGCTCGCAGCACTTCTCGCGCGAGGCTGCGTGACCTGGGCACGCAGCGTCTGTGCACGCCAAGCTGTTGCACCTCCTTGGGCGCCGGGGGCCGCCGCACGGGCAGGACGAGCCCACGCAGCAGGAATCAGCGAGAGGGCGACGAGTCGGACACTCACCGACATTCAGAGGAGGGAAAGGTACCCATACCTCTACACTCTCCTCGTTTTCCCCCTTTTGGGCCTCCTGGGCCTCTCTCGTCGCCACCACGGGATTCGCCTCGAAATCCTGGTCAGAACGCAGCCCCGGAGAGGTCCGGTGAGTAGCGGTATTGATACCTTTTGGTTTCCCCAGATATGGCCAACGCCTTAGCGATCGTTTTGGTTGGGTGGCGCACCGACCGGGCGGGCCAAATAGAGGGTAGGGTGGTCGCCATCCGCGCCGCATGGACCTCACCTGACGAGTTCGTGTACGCGAGGCCGAGCTGTGGAATCAAGGTCTCGATCGGGTGGCCCAGTGGAGCCGACGAGGACCAGCTCCAGTAG